AAATTTATTATATACTTATTTATTATTTTCTTATTAAAATTAAAAACTTTCTTTTTTTTTTAATAATTTAATTTACTTTTCTCCTTTTTCTTTTTATCTTAATTATTATTTATACCTTATTAAAAGCTTATTTTTATAATTAATATAATAAGAATTTTATATTATAAAGTTATAATTATTAATCTTAAATAATATTAGCTTCTTTATTTTAAATAATATTAAAGTTAATTATTCCTTTAAGTTATATTATTTTATTAATAATAATTATAAAGCTAAATATATTCTTAAACTTTATTTATTTAGTTATTATTACCTTTTATACCTTTTTTATATTATTATATTTATTAAAAGTATAATTAAATCCCTTAATATAATAAATATAATTAATATAAGCATTATTATAAAAACTATATAAAGAGTAGTAATTAAAAAAAGGGATTATAATAAAAATATTCTTATTTATAATTAAAAAAAAGTTATAATTTATATATTTTAAGTAATATTTATAAAGAAAAGTATTTTAATAATTATAAAAGGCTATAAGTAAAGCTACTTAATAATAATAATTAAAGTAATTATATATTATTATTATATACTTTTTATAAAAAGCCTTATTACTTTTCTTAATAATAATAATATTTATATAGCTTTTAATTAAATTCTTAATATTATTTAAAAACTATTTTTTTTATAGCTTATTAAAAAACTTATTAAATAATTTTTTAATTACTTTTTTAAAAATAAAATTAATAAATTGCTAGGTAAGGTATTAATTTTATTTAATATTAATAATCTTATATATATAAATATTTTTTATAAAAGCATTATAAAGAATAATTTTAATAAATTAATTTTTATTAAAAATGCCTTTTAGCTTAAAAAAGATATAAATGCCTTTAATTAAAACTTATTTAATTTATAAATTATAATAAATAACTTAAAAAGGAAAAAAAAAATCTTTTTATATTAAACTCCTTAACCTTAATTAAAAAAGATTTAATAATAAAAATGCTATTATAAAAAGATATTTAAGAATAAAAGGATTATAATATTTTACTTTAATTTTAACTTAATTTAAAGGCTAATTAAAGTTAAAAGAATATTAAAAAGAAAAAAAAAAAGAAGAAATTTAAGGAAGAAAAGGAAATTTATATATATAAAATTATTATAATAAGAAAAGGTAAATAATGTTAATAATAAGCTACTTTATTATTAAAAAAAGTAATTTATTACCTTACTTTTAATTAAAGTTAATTTATTACTTAAAAGAAGTTACTTATTATTAATTTTTTTTTATAAAAAAGTTATTTATCTTTTTATTATAAAGAAGTTTTAATTAAATAATTTATTTTAATTTATATTTAATAAATTTATAAATTAAAAAGAAAGTACTTTATAATTAATTATTATTTAAAAAAAATAAAAAATTATATATTTCTTTTACTTTAATTATTAATAAAATAATAAATTAATAACTTTTAATAATAATTTATAAGCCTTTTTATTATTCCTTTTTTTTAATTAATATTATTATTTAACTTAAAGGTAATAAGTTATTAGCTTTTATTACTTTAACTTATATATATTATTATATTTATTTATTTATAATTAAGCTTTTTTCTTTTTTCTTTTTCTTTTTCTTCTTTTTCTTACCTTTATATTATTATTAATTAAAAGTTAAAGATTAACTGCTATTTAGTTATTTTAATAATAATATACTTTTAATATATTAATTTTTTTTCTTATTTAATTTTTATTTAAAAATAAGTAATAATTATTTATAAAAACTATCTTAAGCTATAATTAAATATTAATTATATTTCTTTCTTATTTTTAACCTTTTTTATTTTAATTACTTATATAATAATTCTTAAAAATATAAGGCTTTTTTATTATTATACCTTTCTTTTTTATTATTTAACTTTTATTATTTATTCTTTACTTTATTATTTATTTATTTTATCTTTTTTCTTTATAATTAAAAGCTAAAATATTTTTTAGCTAAAAAAATAAAGTAAAAAAGTAATTTTAATTACTTTTATATTATAAAATACCTTAAAACCTTAATGCCTTAATTTTAATAATTAAGCTTATTAATTTAAAAAAGAATAATTTAATATTAATAATTATAAAACTTCCTTATTTTAATAACTTTAAAAACTTATTTAATAAAGTATTATAATTCTTAAATATTATAAATATTTAAAATTAATAAAACTTTACTTAAAAAGTAAATATTAACTTTTTTAAAAATCCTTTTAAAATAAGAATTATTATAAATAAGGTTTACTTAAATAATATTTAATAATTTTAAACCCTTAATTAGCTATTATTCTTTAATATAAAATAAATAGCATTTAATAATAAGCTTATAAAAATAATATAAAAATATTTCTTAAGCATTAACCTTTATTTTAAATTAAGAAAATTAATTAAATTAATAAATTTAATAAAATAATATAAAGCCTTTCTTACCTTTAATTTCTTTAATATAAAAGGAATACTTTATAAATATAAAGAATTAAAAACTTAATATATTATAGTTTTTATAACTTAATAGCTTTTTAACTTTTAAGATATTATATTTTTACTTAAAAAATCTTTATATTATAATTATATTTTATTTAAGAAATATTAATAATATAAATTAATAAAAAATTATAAATTTATTATTATATTTATTTATATACTTAATTATTAAATAATAGCAATTTTTAATAAAATAAAAAATTACTATTTATTATAAAATAATTTTATATTAAAAAATAAAAAGAGTAAAATAAATAAGAATGTTAAAATACTTATTTATAAATATTTAATAGCTATTTTAAAAAATAAAATATAAAATTTTAATAAAAAGTTTGCATTAAAATTAAAATAAATTAATAAAGTATTTTATAAATAATATATTATTAAGTTTATTAAAAATTACTTTAGGAAAAATTAAGAAAAGAATAATTAAAAAATATAAAACTAAGCTAAGGCTTTTTTAATTAAAATTATATACTTTAAAATGCTTAAAGTTATTATTAATATTATTACTTAAATATTTGCTATTTAATTAAAGCTTAATAAGATTAATAAAGCTATTTAAATATTTATATTAATTTCCTTTATTAAGATTAATAATATAAAAGTAATTAAAGTAAAAAATAGGCTTTTATTATAAAGGAATATTATTTAATAATAGCTATTTAAATTATAATATATTAAAATTATTATTAATTATAAAAAGGATATAAGGAAAATAATACCTTTAATATAAATTAATTTAATAATTTAATTTTAAATATTTAATATATAATAAAATATAAACTTTTAAATAATTTAAAATTAATTAAGCAAAACTTTAATTAAATAAGCTTTTAACTTAAGCATTATATTATAAAATATTTTAAAGCTAATAAAAAATACTTACTTTAATATATATAAGGATTTTTCTTATTTATTTATCTTAATAATAAATATAAATAAAATTTAAAGCATATTAATTAATTTAAAATAATTAAAATAATAATAAAGTTTACTTAAGGATAATTTAAAAGGCTTATAAATAAGCTAGCTAAGTAATTAAATATAAAGTATAAATATTAAAAATAAAAGTATTATAAAAAGTAAAAATAAAAGTTAATAAAGCTAATATATTATGCTTAATATAATAATTAAAAAAAAGAATAAATTTACTTTTTATTTTATAAAGATATTTAAATCTTTAATAATTATATTAATGCTAGCTATTAAAATAAACTTTAATAATTAAGAAAATATAATTAATAAATATATTATTAAGTAAATTTTAAGAATATTTAAAGCTTTTATAAAGAAATAAAAATTATAATAAAATAAGTAAGCAAGAAATTAAAAATAGCAATAATAATTAAAATTATAATAAGATAAATTTTAAAACTTAAAAGCTTAATTAAAAATAATAAAGTTTTATTTTAATAATTTTTATAATACTTATTATAAAGTACTTAAAAAGGGATATATTAATAAATATAAGGAATTATATAAGAAATAATATTATATTAAATTTTAATTAGCTATAAAAAGCTAGCTTTTATGCTTATTTTAAATATTCTTTTAAGGAATTAACTTTTTTTTTTCTTATATATTTAATGCTTTAATTAAGCTTTTCTTATTTTTAAGAATTTTTAAAATATTTATCTTTTTTCTTTCTTTAACTCCCTTTTATTCTTATCTTCCCTCTTTATTATATTAAAGCTCCTCCTTAAGTTATCCTTAAGAGGGTTTAGCAAAACTTATCCCCCATTTATTTAGGTGGCTTGTTTTTAATACTTAAAAGTATTTTTAAGAGGTATATAATTGCTATTTATAATTAAAGTTAGTAAACTGTTTACTTATTTATAAGGGGTGTTATATGCCCTTTTATGCCCTTTATGCTCTTTATGCCCTTTTAAGCCATTTAAGCCTTTTATGCCCTTTAAGCTTTTTTAAGCTTATATTTTTAAGGTATTACTTAAATTAAAAAATAGCTACTTTAGCTTTTTATATATAAGGTAAACTTTATGCTTATTTAAAAAAATACCTAATTTTATTAATATAATACTAAGAAAAGGAAGTACTAGGTGGGTGCACGCTGGAAGCTAGGTGGGCGTACTGTGGCTCGGGAAAGGTCAGCGCAGACCTCGGGAGTTCCAGCCGCACCTGGCATGCCACTCCCACCTCACCATGGAAGTGTCAATTGGTAGTTTGTAAGGAGAACGACGATGCTAGGTCGGACGCCAAACGCGTGTAAGATTCTTGGCATCTGCCCTGACTGCATGGGCGCGCTAGGAACACTACTCGGTCTACATGTGTGAATGATGGAAGTAATACTAGTAGTGGCATTGGAGAGAACGAACCCACGGTAGTCAAAGGGAACCCGGAATTGTATTCGATCGTGCTCCCAGATTCTTTCACGAATACTGGGGCCAGCGATACTAGATAGATGGCCATGTTGTGATATAAATTCATTCCCACAGCCACCGAGCCCCGCATCATTCTTCCTTCTTCTCCGTTTCCGCTGCCGAGGGCATCATCACATCCTTGAAGACAGCAAAGCTAGACGGCTGCTCCTCAAGGACTGGAAAATGAAACTGGCACTCGGGACACTGCTCCCGCAGCACCGCCTGCTCCTGGGCGAGGTCGTACTTCCTATCCTGCGTGTGGTTGCAGACGGGGCAGACACGCAACAGCCGCGTGCCGACGAGCTCAAAGTTAGTGATGATGTCCTCCATGATGGCGCCGTTGGCGGCCCACGACTTGCAGTACTTGTGGTAGGTGTTCTTGTGCCAGTCGTACAGGGCCCCGCGGCTGGTCCAGAAGCTGCACTCGTTGTACCAGCTCCGGTCGTCCGGGTGCTCCCACCAGGGTGAGGTGCAGGAAGCCGGGCAGCGTCATGAGATGGCGGCGCGTGTCGGCAAAGAGGACCTTGAATTTCTCGTAGGCGTCTGGGCTTGAGAAACGCACCCGTTGCATACTCAGGTAGATAGGCATGATGGTAGCGTTAGGCGATCTGGTGGAGAATTAGGAAATTTTGAACGTTTTGGTAGAGGTTGTCTCGGCAGCCAGCACGCTATATAGTGAGGACGCTGAGGAGGTTCCGACGTTGCCAAGGTTATCTCGGATAATGGCCAGTGAGTGATTGGTCGTTGAGGTGACATGAGTGACACGAGATAAAGTCCGTGTGCGGGGAGGTTGATCGATGCCTACTAGAGAACAGGAGGCACTGGGTCATGTTGCCTTGGAAAACAACACGTCAATTGGCCGGCATGATCCCTTTCGGTATGCTTACGCACATTTGAACTCGAACTTTAATTTACTTCAGTGACAGCGGGGGAAGAAGCCGAATTCATGACCCTTGTCCATACGTCGATCTTTGGTATCAAATACTTGCATTAGATCCGGTGGGGAAACCCCGGCTGGCAAAGCCTGCTCGATATCCCACTGTTATGACATCGTCTCCTGAGAGTGGGGATCAGTGTGTACAATCTGACCTTGTGAAATCGCAAGCATGACTCGGACGTTACAGCACTTTATCTAGGATACGCGCATCTCCATGACCTGCGCTTGTGGATAAATAGACGACCGCTCTCAGAATGTGACTTTGCCTTTTTGGTAAAACTCAATACTACCTTTGCAGTCAAGGCGCTAGTCTTTGCCTGCTTTAGACGAGACCAATCCACAGATCCTGCGCGGATGCGCCAAAATGGTATCCATGTGGTCAATATCACCGTGGTGCCGGGCAATATAGAGACAGATAGCCTGGCATTCCAGAACGGATCGCCTCCAAACGAACCACGCGTGGTGCTGGCTGAACTCGGCAAACCAGTACGCCAGCAAGATGAGTGCGTACGGGTCTTTTTCCACCACCAACTGCCTGAAGTCTGCCTCGATAAGAAAGATGAACGAAAGAAAGGTTAGAATGCTAGTTTTGCTTTTAATAGCCATCAAGTTGTTCAGGATGTTTGCCGAAGAGTGATACGGATTGGATACAAGGTCGACATGGCCGTGCAGACCGAGTAACTGGCAGAGCTCATTGGGGAGCCGCTTCAGCCCGGGCTCTGTCACCAACATGTCTTCGCGAACCGTGTCGACTTCTTGGCTCAAGAGACGTAGGCAGCAGTCGGGACGGGTAGGTTCGACAATGCGCCAGATCTCACGCTTGCCATCGTACATCCGCAGCCAGTCCAGGTCGCTCTCCGACGACTCCCGGAGCGGCCAGGCCTGTTCCGGGGACAGCGCATCAACACCGGCGAGCGTGGATGATCCGAGGAGGGTGGCTGCCGCCCAGATGGCATCTTTCTCCGATGGCGTCAGGGGCCCAGACAGCTTCATGTTGAACAAAGTAGTGCCCCTGGTAAAGTGGGCTAGCTCAGCCACGGAGGGAGGGCGAGGCGGGGAGGAGATGAGATGGCGGTCATGCATCAGGGTAAATCCCAGGGCGAGGTGCATGAGGAAGGGGTGCTGCGACGGCCCAACAGTGACGTTAGAATCCGGCAGCATTGAACAGGCGCCGTTGGGGGGGGGGGATCACACACCTGACCAGTGAGGGTTAGCATTTCGGCTTCGTACAAACCACGTGTATGTGGTGTTTCTAAAGTGGGAACAGTCCTAGTGTGGAAGCGACTGAGGATATCAATATCGCCGCTCGTCAAATTATCGAAAGGGTGGTCCGCCCCGTGGGCAAGGCGGCCCACCATTAATGAGCCGTTCAGGGCGCCAAGGATTGTGTTTCGAAGAGATGGAGCCGTCAAGACATCGAGATGGCATATTTTTCCAATGGATGGCTGGAGGATGCCCTCCCCAGGAGTGGTTGGGTGGTGACCATAGCTGCACAAGACTCGGAAGCTCAGGCACTTCTTGCAGCTTGGCTTGGCCTCGTCGCACTGCACAAGTCATAAGCGGTCTTCTCCTCCAAGATCGAACCTTCATAGCCGATAAATATTAGCAATTTACAAGAAACACGTACCTTTGTGTGGCGCATCTTGCAGTTACCACAGCCCTTGCGGGATTTGGTATGTGCCTTTCGCCGTCGAAGGCCGGTCTCCGCCAGTGATGGAGATTCGGCACGTGTGTGCATCGTCGCGACAGGGCCACCAAGGCGGCCAGACACTCGGCGCAGATTCAGACGGGACCAGTTCTCGAGAGCCACTGCTCAGATAGGGACAACGTAACTCATATCAACGGGACGTCCCGAAGCAACCCGGCACAGCCCAGCACTTCCGAGGATCCGGCGCTGGCGCAGCTGGGGTCTGGCTCTGGCAAGCGCTCGAATGCACATGAGGATCCCGTAGCATATCTTAAGGTCAAGTTACTTTCGCTGGACAGTTCGGTCACCGAGAAGTGCGAGAAATGTAAACGAGGGGGTGAGGTGGGTGGAACGAGGAGGATGAAGTAAGATGCAGGGGAGCGAAGTGTCGTCTGGTATCTGGCTATCGCGCCAAGACTCGGGCTGCAGCTGTTATTAATGAATGGGATGACTTGCAGAATGCCCTAACCTCGAAGCGTATTGACAGATGGCACTAATCCAGGTACGTTCGTACGCTAACCCAGATATGTATGTGTAAGACGCGAGCCGCTCTACTCCGTATGGCGGACGGAGTGTCAATAAAAGCAGTCTGTTTTGTGTATATATATATGTATATTTCCATTCATGTCTCCCACCTCGTTGCAAAGTAGGATATACGGGCTTCATCCCTTGCCAGACATTAGACAGTATATCACTTATTTCAAACTCACCGCGAAAAGCCATCAAGCCAACCCCATTTTCGACCTGGACATCCACCCATTCACTCAGAGCTCCGTTTTCTGACCTCTCTGCCTTTGAGGTTTAAATTGAAACAAACAATAATCATGGCTCAACCTCTCCCTGAGACGATGCGCGCCCTAGTCTGCGACGGGCTCGGCCAGCCTCTGGTTGTCAAGACGGTGCCCACTCCCCAGCCCACGATGGGAAGCGTCGTTGTGAGGGTGCTGTGTGTCCAGTCTCAGCGCAGTCTGCAGACCATTTTGAGCGGGAAGACGCCCTTCACCTTCCCCCAGCCCATGACCCCGGGGAACACGGGCATCGGGCGCGTGGCCGCCGTCGGGCCAGACACCACGAGCCTCGCCGTCGGGCAGCTCGTCATGCTCGACACCTTCATCCGCGCGCGCGACGACCCGGGCCTGCAGATCCTCTGGGGCTTCTGGGACGGGCCCTCGCCCGCGTCCAGGAGGTTCGCGGCCGAGAACTGGTCCATGGGGTCGTACGCCGAGTTCGTGCGCGCCCCGCTCGAGAACACCTGGGCCCTGGACGAGACGCGGCTGTGCGGCGGACCCGCTGACGGCGGCCTGGGCTATACCCTCGAGGACCTGGCCGTGATCCCCGAGGCGCTGGTGCCCTACGGCGGCCTGCGCAGCCTCGCCCTGCAGGCCGGCGAGACGGTCGTCGTGGCGCCGGCCACGGGCGGCTTCAGCGGCGCCGCCGTCAACGTGGCCCGCGCCATGGGCGCCACGGTGCTGGCCATGGGCCGCAACACCGCCGTGCTGGAGCGTCTCGCCTCCCGCTCCTCCCCGCAAGGCGCCGTGCGCCCCGTGCCCAACACGGGCGACACGCAGGCCGACGCGGCGGCGCTGCGCGCGGCGGCGGCGGGGGCCATCCACGCTTACCTCGACTTCTCGCCTCCTCAGGCCGCCGCCTCGACCCATTTGCGCAGCTGCTTCCTGGCGTTGGGCCAGTACGGCCGGGCGGTGATGATGGGGCTGCTCTCGTCGGACCTGCCCGTGTCGTATTTGCGCTTTGGCTTGCAGAACCAGACCATCCGGGGCCAGTTCATGTACGAGCGGGCAGACGTCCGGGGGCTCATCCAGCTGGTGGAGAAGGGCATGCTCCGGCTCGGCGCCGGAGGTGGGTACGAGCTCCGGGGGAAGTACAAGTTGGAGGACATCGACGAATGCTTCCGCGCCACGGCGGCCGGCTCAGAAGCCGGTCAGTTTGTGCTGATCACACCGTGATAAGACCAAAAAAAAAAAAAAAGAAAAAAAGGCAGAGCTGGAAAACAAGCTTGGCTCCGTTGTAAATAGCATTACTCGTCGGTGGGCTTATATACCGGAGAGTATTCGGTAGGACTATAGTAATATGACTTTGGGGGCAAAATGAACAAAAAAAATAAATAAACACGCGTTGTGACCATGGCCGGCGCGGGGCCAGTCAATCCTGAGTTGGCTGCAAGGTATATAGATGCGTGGAGGAAAAGAGATTTCTTGCATTAGCGTTCCCATTGAAGCCCCTCATTTCCTCTGCTGCTGGCGGAATACTCAAGCAAGTCTTCTTCAGGGTCATCATGGAGTGAAAAGATGTTGAAAGTAAGGCCGGGCAAGGCAGTTCAGCCACGACGGGTGTCACATACGCTGCGCTTCGTCTCTGTTACGGAAGATTGTCGTTCTGTTGCGGCTGTGTCTCCATTCCCTTGGTATAAATTTATTTATCTCGTAACAGCATTGTCCAGTCAATACCGACATGTAATGACCGCAATCTTTTGGCCCCCCGCCCTTTGTTGATACTCGACTAAAGAGTCTGCCTTGTCTTACAGATCGGCGGCCCCCATCGCCCGAAGCCGATAACGTCCTGTTGTGGAACAACAACAGCTGAAACCAAAAGATATATTTAGTATACTCGATGCCTTGGACAAGGAAAGGCATTTCAGGCCTGCGCAATTACTGTGGGCATGTATCTGGCGCCAGCGGCTGTTTTTGCCAGGGCGGAGAGCACATTAATTAAAAGCCTTCAGCTCCCATTTTCCACGCTATACTTTTGCGCCTAGCAGCCATTCTTGCTGATTTCCAGCGTTGGGTCATCAAAAAGCTTCAATTTTCCAAGTTCTTTTTCTAGTTGAAAACCAAAGCACATGCCGAAGAGTAGGGTCGTCTGTGGGAAAGCTTGTTATAATGTCCTGGCAAAGCTCGCCAGTCTACAACAAAGGTGAAGAACTGTGATCTGAATGCAGGAATCTTGGGAAATTTGCATGTTAACGTCGTCAGCCTCTCCATCTGAACAAACCGATGAAATGCCAGGGGCATTAAGCACTGGGCTGGTAGGTTACAACCCAAACAACATATCTGGAAAGCAGCTCTCAGGCTAACTAATCAACAAGGACCTCCCTAGTCTGCCGAACGAGGCTCCGCTCCGCCTTGGTCCAAAGCATCCAATGGAGGAACAGTCGAATGATAGCTCCGATGATCTACCAGATTACAGCACCGTCGCTGGGGCACTACATCCCAAGAAGACTCTGCCGCCTGTGTCGACCAAGGCATATGTTTACACGTGGCTCGTCCCACTCAGCACCCTTATTTCTGTAGCTGCCCTAGTTGCATGGCTCGCATCCAAAAAGGACCAGGCTTTCATATCCCTTGCCGGGAGCGAGATTGGAGGCCATCTTACGCAGGCACAGGCCAAAGGGATCGACTTTGTCTGCAGTGCGTTTTTAGCTCCATTGTTATTTGCTGGATTGACCCTACTGTGGTTTGCATGTGCACGCGTATGCGTGGTCAACGAGTTTGCACCAAGCGTTCCACTACAAACACTGGCCACGGTGAGCGCAATGTCGCGGGGCACCTACGACCCTCTTCAATATTATGCCCTACTAAGAGGGCGGACCTGGAAGCTGGCTGCTCTTGGAGGGATAGCTTTCTGCTCCGCCATGGGATCATCTGCATTGGGTGTAAGTACGATGCTTTGAACCCTTCTTGAACACTCAAGTTAATTGTTACATTATAGAACATGATCGCATATGAGGTATTCCACCAGGACGGACCTTCAACCAATGAGTTCAGTCTCCGACTGCTGCGTGATGCGATTATAGAGAGTATGGCAACCTCATCATCGGGAACAACCACCCCCGGCCTCGTATGGCTTCAGCAATTCTGAGTTTACCGCCGCGGCTCGGAGCGTATCTGATGTGCTTTACGGCCTCGATTTTGTTCCTGCAATCCTAGACAATGACAGTGGGTATATTGGAGTAAACACTACATCCGCTTCCATGACGAGCCTTCACAAGTCCGTCAATTCATTGAGCGATGTGCCAGGTTTTCGCTTGAGCGCCGAATGTGTACCCAGTACCTTGAATTCGGTAAATGCATGGCCTACAGTTGATAAATACGCCAGATTATCCCCAAACATTTCCTACGACACAGCCGCGTCCGCCGGCGCGGTGTCTAGGGACTTCGACTGGTTCACGCCAAGTTACTCCTATTTCAGTGGCCAGGAAGATGGCACCACCTCCATCTCGTCTAAGTTGGCGTTCCCTGCCTGGGATTACGACTGTGGGGATAGTGGTTGCGCGGAGAAGTTCTACCTCATTTACATGATGACCGGCATCCATCGGCAGAGTCTCCACACGGAGTACGGCGACTTACGGCCGGCCCTCCAATATAAATACGATTCTGATGGCTACGGGAAAGACTTCCAATTGAGTCCCGCCACCTCTTGGGGCCTGGAGTGCGTCTTGTTTCAACAGCAGGGCCTCACAAATTACACCCGCTCTCCAGATCTCCAATGGTCCATGGCCGCTGCCTCCTTCGACGGCAACAAGACCGCCATCTCTTCCCAGCTCAGCAAATGGCAGCAGATAAAATTCGACGGCGAGTGGGCTCCTCCGCAACTCGGGGTCGTGCTTTTCGGTCGCGACCCCCTCAAGCCGTGTTTGACACGGTTTGAGAAATGCCTGCCGGCCCGGAACGTTTCGAACCCTGTGGGGAAGTATATCTACGCGTCCGGAGAGATAACACGGATCATTCACAATATCGCGGCAGCAAACGCATCTCGCGGATCAGGGAACCCGGAATACTACCACAATGTCACGGGAACCGTCAACAGGCAGTATTACCGGATCACGTACGTGCCCGTGCTGCTTCTGCTGGCTTTGGTCAGCATCCTGCTAGCGGCGCTGCTGACGATCGCCCTCATGATTTCTGCCAGCAAGACCGTGAGTTGGGCACGGTTCAGACAAGTGGACATAGTGAGGCTGGTAATCGATGCTGTTGGTGGAACACTGAGGCATCAGGACGAGGAACAGTTCGCGAAACTCAGCGGTGCATCAGACGATGAAATAATAAGCTGGGCTCAGGGATGTCGAGTGGCATACATCGAGGTTTTGGAAAATCAGAAACATGAAGATGATGAGTTCGGTCAAGTCCAGCCAGTACGGGTACAGTTGGTCCAGAAAGCCATGCCGTAAGGACCATAGTGGATAAAGGTGGTCGGCGTCGGTGAACTCCAGAAAGCAAACACTCTGAACGATGGCGGGAATTATTTGAAGGGGACAAAAAATTGAAGGGGAAAGATCGTCCTCTGTACTGACCCTATCTAATAAAGTCTTAATTCGAGAAATCCAGGAATCGTCGCATCTTTCCATCTTATCCAGTAGACCATCAGTCCCCCAGCTCTTTCTTTGGCAAAGTAATCATCCAAATCTAGCGCATATCGCACTGTGGGGAATTCAAACTCAGGATGCAGGCTAGTGGCAAGCTCAGCCTCAATTTCGCCGAGCGTTATTGTCGAAAATTCCTGTGTCTGGTTGGTTTTACCGAGAAGTCGTTCCAGCTGCTTGTAGTTGGCTGCTTTGGCTTGGCGGATGAAGTCTCCGAGTGAGACCACATAAGCAGCCTCAGATCGACGTCGCCGGGAATCGACCCTCATCCACTTATGTTCTGGGATCCATAGATCTGTTTGCGGCCGCTTTGTGATCTGTTGTTGAGATACCTTGTCGGATGTAGAATCACCTTCCGATTCTCTGTCTTCTGAAATCTCACCATCCGATTCCTTAGTTGATGTTGCTGTAATCCAGTCCTGGCTGTCTCTCATCAAAATGTAGCAATCGGAGTCAACGCCGGTTTCCAAAAAAAGCTCAAGTATTTGGCTCATGCCCATGTACTGTAAAGTCGATTAGAGGTTTCATTACAAGGACGCAGGAAGCTTACCGCGCATCTGCAGACAACGGCGGTCACATAGTAGAGACACCACGCTTGCCAAACACTCAGATGCATTAGCATTTCTCCCCCTTCCAGCTGCAAGCTTATCCCATGGTTGAGTTCAGCACCGAGTGCCAAGATCAACTTCACCAGATCAGAACGAGAACCGGTGGGGTCTTTTCTTGGTGGGCGGCACGCTGCTGAGAGAAGCAGAGACAGACCATTCTGCGGCTGAGGGAGATCCGGGAAAATTCGGATCCGCTCGGTGAGATATTGGATGGCGAAAGTTTCCTGGACTTCATTTGCTATCCAATGGTCGAATGACGTAGATTCATCAGCCATTTGACCTTCGTTGAATTGACCATAGCCATTTAGTTCAATCCAGACCTTGTTCCATGCAAGATATCTTGCCTGCTGTTCGAACGCGGCTCTGTATGCTTCAAACAAGGAGCGGGAAGGCTGTGGGGTAGATAGATATTTCTTTAAGATGTTCCGGTATCGTTTAAAGGCCCATGGCGGTTCATCCTTTTCGCGTAGGGATCCGAAATGCAGCTCGGCAAGAGACAGTCGAGTGTAGAACTCGAGGTTGAAAAGCTTGGGCGAAGAAGACAAGACATCTCGTGCGAGTGGACTGGCAGCAACATAATCCAGAGCCGATCGGTGAAAGAATTGAACCGTGTGTCGCAGGTACAAAGGCCGCCAGAGTTGGAAAGAATGATACTCGCTTCCGGGTACATGGGTTATGACTTCCAGGAGTCCTCTGGTGTAGCCAGTCACTTGCGCATCGGCAAATTGCCGCTTCTCCTCAATCTCGTTCTCAGTGTACACCATGAATGGTTGATTGGCGGGAAACGCCGGGTCCTCAGTGATTCTAGCCAGACACCGCATTGACGCTTCCAGGATGAGCCATTTCGCCCAAATATTTCCGCTCCTCGGAAATAAGGAGCATCATCTTCATGGGCCTCGTGTCGATCGCGCTCATCGATTGTAAGGAACATTGTCTCGTATAAAGCCTTTAACTCACGAGGAGTGGCCTTCAGTTGCTTTTCCAGCGACTCAAACGAATCGCGTCTTGCCAGAGAAGCTAGCAATCTTTGAATGGTGAGCCCTGTCAAAAGAAATACGCCGTCGGAGGCACCAACAACCTTCTCTACAAGGTCCTTGTAGCGTTTCTTCACTCCGGGGAATCCAAAAGTCCGATGCTTTTCAAAGAGATGACGGCCGAATTAATTATGTCATCATGTGTCAACTGGTGCAGGTGTACACGCTGGTTGTCCCCAAAAGTGTCGATAAATTCTGGATGTGGACGAGAGCTGGCTAAGATTTTGGTATGATCGCTGCGCGCCGAGTCAACAAGGATTTGTGCCAAGTCCTCCCTTTGAGTTTCCGACAGGGGCTCTGACTTAATGTCTGCGCCGTATTCGTCCAAGCCGTCGATGAAAAGACAGAGTCGATATTTGGGGTCACTCGGAAGGCGGAACACGTATTTGACCAGCTCAGGTCGCTGGATGAGAATTTCGAAGAGGATGGAACGTTGAAGACCTTCCAGGGAATTCTGAAGTTGGTCACCGCCAGCCCAGAAGTAAAAGCGTGCAAAGAGAAGTCGCTTGTCGCCAGCCCATTCTCTCAGAAGCTCATGAGTTCGCTCTGTTGACAGGATGAGCTTCATCAGCGTCGACTTTCCGGAGCCCGCCTTGCCGGAAATGTGGAAAACCCCACTACCGAAACGTAGCCAATTCTCGAAACGAGAGGCAACTTCAGCTTTCAGGGAGAATGTTGAAGCATTTTTTCGATTTGCTCTTTCCAAACTGACCGACCCACTGTTACCATCATCCTCGCTTGAGACGCCCTGGACAAACCATAGGAAAGTGGCTTCGTCTGCAGGCTTCAACATTTCTTCTCTCTGAAACATGGAAGATCCGAAATACACCATTTCCAGAATGCGTGTCTCAGGCGTCTTCTCTGAGCGACCGGCTGCCAAACTGTTGGGTGCATCCTTGACCTCTTGGAACTGTATTTGAAACCTGTCCAACAACTCTTTCTGATCGGGTAGAGTCTCATCATCAGTGTCTGGTATCGGTCGAGTGGTCGATTGTATGTCCATAAGGACAGTGCTGACATCGTCCAAGGTATCTCTAATACCACGCAGATCCGTTCTAGCTTCACCCAAAGAGTTGCCGAGCTGAACCTGGGTCTTTAGCTGACGATCACTTGCGTCAAATGTTAGCTTAAGGCCCCACCACAGCTATGAGCATTCGTAGTGTCACATACGTGAGGATGGTGATTAAGTGTACCAGGATCTGAGAGCGATATTCGACAAGACTCTTCTGTAATTCTTGTACTTTGGGATCGCTGCGTATCCGTCTAAATACGACTTTGACATTATCCCAAGATATACCAGGCTCTGCAGCCTGCACCTTGAAACGTCCAAGCAGAGCCAGCAGCTCCGTTGAAAGAGCCTGGCATCTCAGCGAAACCTCCCCCAAGCGCTTTCTCAGGGTCCGAGGCATTCGGTGATACAGGCTTGCTGAATCTCGCGACAGCATCGTTGAGGTCGTGAGCCACGGCATCGATGTGTTCGGTGTGCGGAGCCCGGCCCGTCTGAGCAGCCTCGACCATACCAGTCACGACCTTGTAGCCGATGTCGATAAACGTCAAGATGCTTGACGCCAGCCCGATGGCCGACACTGAATCCATGAATGATACGTGCCCAAGAGATTGACACGGCGGACCTGAGAAGATGTCGAAAGCAATGGCGAGGGTGTGCATGAGAGCGGGGTCTCGCGAGCCAGATCATTGAGCTGGAATTTACCGTCACACAGATCTACGGCTCAACGATAAACCGCTCCGATTTCATTCGCGATTGTCCTGCAGGACTTCACAACGCCGAGTGGCTTAGCATGGGTTCTACTGGGGCCGAGAATTTGTGTGGATTGCATCTTGTGAAGGTTCCTTCTGGACTGGCAACGTTTGCCTAACTGAGTGCCGTCTTCCAGGCTAGTCAAAATAATGATCGCAGACTCCAGCCAACAATGGCCCCTATTTCAAACAATCTTTTGTTGATTGATTCGCGACTGCATTATAATTATATTCTTTAAGAGACTTGTTGATAGATGCTAGTCTAGAGCACAATGTTTTGACTATCCGGTATGTGGGAAGTTCTTCCATCCTTTGAACGCACCTGTGAATGTTTCGTAGATTGTCCCGATCAAACCAGATATCTTCGCTGTTCAACATTTCCAGCGCTATACCCAGGCTGAGCCTCACGCCTGTCCATCTCTTTGTTCTTCCTAACCAGAACAATCCGAAGTATCGTGGCAGCTATGATAGCCATAAGAGCCATACCCGCATTAACGCCAAAGGCCAGGACGAACCGGGGTGCGGCGTTGTTCGGGTAAAGATATGACCCGTAAATGCTACAAATGGTGGATAGGGCGTTGTTGAAAGCGACGGCAGCCGCACGCTTGGCCGGAGGTCTGCTCATCGTGTTGGCTGTCCAGACCATGGCCATGTTGAAGCCACTGTATATACCCGGCAGCATGATCATGGCACCGAAGTACCTAGGGCCAATACCCGTCGTGGCGGCGGAGATGACAAAACCGGCGAGGGCCAGGGCGATGGGACCGACTGTGTGCCAGTATCGCTCCTTGGTCCGATCGGCATTCCAGGAGACACCGATGCAGACCATGCAGGCCAATAGATAAGGCGGAGCGGTGAGCAGGAGTGTTTCTATCTTCCCTTTGCCCAGGGCTGCCACGATTGTCGGGAAGAAGCTGTTGATGGCAATGGCCGATGCAGCGCCGTACACAACAGTGAGCAGGATCCAATTCAAAGGGTCCTTGAGGACCATTTTGAAGCCATCCGCTAACGGCTGCTCCTTTCCCTCCGTCCAGTCGGCTTCGCCGGCAGCATCGACCTTGAGCCTCCAAAGGGCCAACTCACGCTCCTGGGTCGTAAGCCATTTCGTAGTGGCTGGGAAATCGGGGAGAATAAATATGGCAGCGATAGAGATGGCAACAGTGGCACTGCCCTCAATGATGAACAGCCTAGTATTATATCAGTCAGAGCCTCCATACAGGTATTTCATAAGCCTCTTACCATTTCCATGCTCTTAGTCCAAGTACTCCATCCATCCCATCCGTAATTCCGGCCGCAATGAGACCAGAGAATGCGCCGGATAGCATGGAGCCGCAGTAAAAGATTGCGGTCCTCAAAGAGAGCTCCTCTTTGACATACCAAGCGCCAAGTGTGGCGACGCATCCGGGGTAGAAGGCAGCTTCGAAGAAGCCGAGCAGGAAACGGGTGGCCAGCAAGCCGTGGTAGTTGTGAGCAACCCCACTGCAAGCGCAGAGAACACCCTGAAAAACTTCACGTTAGTCTGGACTCGGATGGAATGAAATGCCTGGCGGATATGCGTACCCATATTGCCATACAGGTTGGCAGATAGATCGAAGGCTTCCCGATCCTATTGAGGAATAGGTTGGAAGGGACTTGCATCAGGATGTATCCTACAAACAGGATGGTAACACAGGTTTGGAACTCATAGCCGACAAGATTCAACTCCTCCTCCATGCCGGCCAATCTTGCGGCTCCAATAGCGTTCCTGGCAGCCTCTGTCAGTAGTTACTCTTCTCCTCCCGGCAAGGTAATCAGAAGGGGACGCACCTGTCAAGATAGTTCATGATGTACATGACAATCAAGGGAGGCATCATTCTCCAATCGATCTTGCGTTTAAGTTTCTTCTCAAGATTGGCGATTTCCTCGGAGCTCAAGTCACGAAGCAGAGGGGGAAGCCCTCTATCGTCTATGACTATGCCTTTCTTGGTCGACAAAACTGAAGTGTGACTTGTTGTCTTGTTCATGTTAAGAGCGATGTCCTCACAAACGGATGTCATGGTTAATGTTTGGGATCTGGGTCGGGCGTGCCTGTGTGGCCGGCTATTCCTTTTAGATTTGAAGGACACAATGGAATTGCATGAGAACTACAGCATAAGAGTGCGATTTGAAGGGTATGTTATGTATTAGGAAATCCATGGCCTCAACAGTAAGAGGGGTTCCCACGTCCAAGAGGTGTCAGACACAAGCCAAGCCCGGCAATACGATCGACATCCTGTTTTCGCCAGATTCTCGAGGAGATAGCATGTAACACTCCGCACCATGTGCAGCGTCTGGACCCCCGGCCGCTAGATACGGGATGCGGACATGCAGTTGCCCCTCACGGTGAACCGGCCATCCACTGCCAACGCCGGAATGACAAGTCATCCGGTTCCGTTGTCGGCCCGGTGGACAGGTCAGGTTCGTCGTTCGAGCAAGATAAAACAGGCAGAAGTCTGCCCGGATTGACCTCATCCCCGCCTCCCAAACATTTTTTTCATGGAACTTGCCTCTCTAACCCCTCATCACAAAACCATGTCAAAACCTTCCGTTCTTATCGTCGGCGGCGGCGCCTTCGGAACATCCACAGCGTTCCATCTCAACAAGCGAGGATATTCGTCGGTGACCGTGCTCGACCGGTTTGATGCTCCGTCTACCGACGCCGCAGCCACCGACCTCAACAAGGTCATTCGGTTCGATTATCCAAACCCCCTCTACTCAGCCCTCGGTCGTGAGGCATACGACGCATGGACTTCCCCCTCGTCGCTTTTTGCCGGTCTCTATCGTAAGACTGGCTGGATCATGTCCGGCCATGAAATGACGGTCGACTGGCTGAAGAAGGCCTTTAGCCAAGCCAAGGATGAGAACAGGCAAAATGTCGGTTGGCTCAGTGCTGGCGACATCAAGAGCCGGTGGCCCGCTTTTAGCGGCCAGTTTCCTGGATGGACGAACCTGTTCAGCGGCAATGCAGGATGGGTAAGGACTTCTTCATAGAACCTTCAGAAGCACAAATTCTCTGACATCTATAATCGTGCCTCAGGTACCTTCTGGAGAGGCGCTCCTACGAATGGCAAGAGCGGCCGAGACGAATGGAGTCAAGTATGTATGTGGACGGTCTGGTACGGCCGTGCGCCTCATCTATGATGACAAGAACGGCACCTGCACTGGTGTCCTGACTGCAGATGGCACGACACACACAGCCGATCTCGTCATTCTTGCCAACGGTGCGCAGATACCGACGCTCATAGAAGCGAAAGACGAGGTCGAGGCGTCGGCCTCGGCAGTCGCCGTGATCGAGCTTACGCCGGCGGAGGCTGAGAAGTACAAAGATATTCCCATCATTGACGACTTCGAACAAGGTCAGTCAAAGTCCATCGTAATAGCGGATACCGAGTGGAAACTGCTCTTCTGACGCTTGTATTGTCATCGATTGTGCAGGAATCATCTTCCCTCCAGACCGCAACCGCCTGTTGAAACTGTGCAGCTGCCGCTTTCTTGTCAACTACAAGAACAGCCAGCTGCCAGGAGCATCGATCGGGGTGTCCCATGGTGATCGCCCACACGACGGCATCCCCCAAGAGATTGACAAGGAACTGCGAGCCTTCCTACACGATATGGCCCCAGACTTGGCCGACAAGCCATGGGTTACTACCCGTATGTGCTGGTATGTGAATAATACTGAACATTCACCACCTTACTGGTCCTCTCCTTGCTCTCCAAGCAAAGTCAAATGACACAACTAACCCATGTACTCGTTTCTGAAGGGACGGAATGTCCAAGGACATCAACTTCCGGATCTGTCCACATCCTAACGCCAAGAACCTCTATGTCGCTTCGGTCGGGTCTAACCATGGGTTCAAATTCCTCCCCGTCATTGGCAAGTATGTTGCGGATATGCTGGAGGGCAAGCTGTCGCCAGGGTACGCAGATCTGTGGAGTTGGAAGTTTGGGCGGCGGCCGGACCACGTCAGCAACCCTCACCCGTATCCCGTGAGGGAGCTGACGGAATTGTCAGGGTGGGAGAGGAGACATCAACCTGCTGCTACTAGCTTGCCGTGGGCGTGGAGTAAACTTTAGATAGCCGTACATAGCTAGCTGGACGTTGAGTGCTCGGGGTGGATCATGATGTCAAATGAAAATCAATCATGCTCTCCATGTTCTCAACCCATCATACATCACCATATCACAAAGTCCTGCTCCTCCAACAGCGGATCCTCGTAAAAATTCCACAACTCCCCTTGCATTATCCCATTGATCCATGCCCGTCCTCGATACGCGAAATGATCACCATCTGGACGTAGTACGACGGGAACACCGCTGCCATGGAAAAGAGCTATCATGTCTCCAGGTTTTGCACTTTCAGGTCCAAGGCCGACGGAACCAGATGACGTCGTCAGCAGGAATCGTGAGTCTTCATCTTGCAAAGGGTCTCTGAGCTCTTCCGGCTCTTCGGCCTTCATCATCTTGCAGTATTCATCCCAGGGGCTTGTGTTTCATTCACTCATGTTCGAGAAATTGCGTGCGTGGTTGGGCACACCGACACATCTGTCCCATGACCGAAAGAAAAGGGAGGGCCCGCACCGACACCCCTTAACGTCGCAGTCGCCACGGTTGAGGGCGAGCGAGTGTAAGTCAGTCCAGTCCACCCTGTCATGCTCCGCCTCAGGGTTCCAATGTGGTAAGATTTGAGTGACTAGCCCTTCATGCTCAACCACAAGTGTACCGGATTCGGCTTCTTTAAAGACCCAGTTGGGCCTGCGGATTTCTCGGAGGTCATCTGTTCTGAGCTTCGCTTCGGACCCTGACACCACCTTGTATGGACTTTCCGAGGGAAGGTTTGAGAACAGGGTGAATAGTTTCGTAATGACTTCCTCTGCTGGCCTTTTTCGATACTCGCGCACGGGATACTCCTGAACAGTATTCTTGATGTGGTCAAGAATTGCTCCGCGGGCCGTGAGCTGCCTGCCGTCTTCAGATAAAGCGAGCATGGCGCGTTGGTTCAGACCATTATTTCCATCAAATGTCCAGCGCTCAAAACCATATCGAACTTCGGCATCCCCGGTGAACACAGTCGAGTCCGAGAAATCCAGAGCCCAGCTCGGCAGCCCCGCTAGACGATGCGGCGCGCATGACTTAGCCCAGTTGAGGATACGAAATCTATCGGGCCGGAGGCCAGTTTATTTTGCAATGCCTCTGATCTGATACTTCGGAAGCTGTGGATGAAATTGGTCCCTTTCGTCAAAATTTTCAGTTGACTCCTTGTAAATTTCGTCCCCATGCACGCTGTCCCATAAGTCAGCGTAGGTTGCTTGGGTGAGGACCTCTGCTGGCTCGAGGCAACAATTCGGGCTGACGAGAGACGCTTGGGCTGGCTTGACCAGGCTCAAAAGACTGTATACTTTGTCTCTGGGGTCAGTCGCTTTGGTGTGTCGTGCGAGCAGCGCTGTCTCTCCGATTCCGCCTTTGTAACGCCATGTCCGTGTGTTTTTCCGCAGCTCAATAAGCTGTTTGAGTTCACTGATAGAACTCCAAGTACCCCAAAACTTGGATCTGAACGTGGACCAACTCACTTCCACTGCCCTAAACGCGACATTGACATCCTCTGCTTGGACCAGCTCTTGTGTAACCCAGGCTCTCGTCCACCACGGGGTGGGGGCGGACTCGAGGCTATGACACAAAGTCTTTCTTTGCCATTGATTTCCACTGCCAGATTTTGAGCTGTCTGAGTTGCTGGATTTCATTCTCAGTCAGCTCATCATCCCCTTCGTCGCTCGTCTCATGGTTAAACATTGAAGATGGGACCTCCGCATCGCCCAACCATGCCACGACTCTTGCTGCGGTACTATAGATTCGCCCCATCATTTGCACCTGCCAACTTCGCTCCTCCAAGCTCTCTTGATCTATACATATCGCGTCGACCCACAACAGTCTTTGGCGGTCTGTGCGTCGAAGTCGTCGCAGGGCGACATAGAGGTTATCCGTGATAGGCAAGCTTTTCTTGCCATCCCCGGTGATGGTATGGTTTCCAAGCGATTTTCCCCATACGTAGGATAAGGTCTCGTACTTGTAACTTGGATGCAGCCAATTCGTAAAGGTCGGGGCCCTGTCCTGGCCACGCTCTTCCATTTACCCCCCCCCCCCAGCCTCTGCCAATGTGTCGCCTGGTATACGATGGAAACAGATGGTGTCTAGGCTTTTGCCCAGTGTTTCCCTTTGCGAAGCAGCCCTTATCATCATGTCGGTTAGACTCATATTTGCATCCTCGGTCTTCGAATAGCCCACCTGACTAAGCAACCTCGATTGGGAGTGCGTTTCGCAGGACCCTGGCCTTCTTTCTTTCTCGGACATGTTTTCATGTGACCTCTCTGGTACCCTCTCCCCTCTTCGTCTTGGTCTTGAAACAGAGAAACCTTCGCCTCCTCTTGAAACAGGAAAACTTTCTATGAGCCTCAACTTGGCCATTTCAAGATCGTCAAGCGAGACTTTGGCAAGAGTGCCGCGCAGTGCATCGTCACTCGACCCAGGTAGGAGGCACAAGAGTCGTATATCACTTCGTATCAGACTCAGCTGTATCGGCAATGTATCCAAGGACACTTCTGCTGACTCGGCGCACGTCTGCCCGTAATCCTTATAGTCTTGTTGTCCCATGAGTGTTGGTGGAGGCACTTCGGAATCCGCGCGCCTTGTATCATCCTTACTATCGCACGTCGACCATGTGCTATCAGCCTTGATAGAACAGATGGAAAGAGATTCAGACTGTCTTCGGAAATGACAAGGAGCCAAAGCTACAACCGGGACACCTTCCTGATTCATGTAGATGAAGTGGCATTTAGAAGGTTTGTCCTGATGCAGTCAGCTTCGGCAATTGCCCTTGGAGGCTTCGCGGCCGCCTATCTCTTTCTCCGCCTCATCCTCTATTTGACCCAGGATTCGAGAGAGCCGCCCGCCATCTTGACCACCGTGCCCTTCTTTGGTCCACTGGTTGGCATGTTTAGGGAGAAATCAAGTTTTCCACCTTCGGTTAAGGTGTGTCCGTGTCCATTGAACTGGTTCTGCGGCTATGCTGAGCGCTGATTGAATTCCGACAGAGACGCATACAGGCTTCCAATCTACACTCTCCGCTTACCATTTTCACGCATGTAATTACGTCGTGAATGCTACGGAGCTGATCCCGGCTTTACAGAAGCGGTGGCGCGCTGTTAGCTTCGCCGCCCTTGCTGCCGACGCTGGGTTTCTTGTCGGCCTCAGGAAGGAAGACAACGAAATACTGCATCGGGATCTGACCAGTGAGCACGGCTTCAGTTTCAGTTGGCCCAAGTATATAATGTCCGCTATGGGCCCTGGAAAGGACCTTGATTCAATCAACAGAAAGTCAGTTGAGATATTCTCTGAGGATATGGATAAGCTTAGGACAAAAGGGGCCACTGTCAAAACTGGTCTGTGGAAGTCGGCGCGAGATATCATGGTTAAGTCTACAACAGAAGCTGTCTGGGGACCGGAGAATCCTTACCGCGACGCTGCGGTGGCCGCAGCATGGAAATGAGTGCTATATCTGCGACGATGATTGTCTCACTCTGCTGACGGCCTTGACAGGACGTCTGAGTCGGGCTTCCTGACCCTGTCTGTCTTTCCCCTGGCTTCTATTTTCTTCCTCAGACTCTATAAAGCGCGAGAACTAGCAGCAGCAGCTATGATCGACTACGTGTGCAAGGGTGGGTACAAGACAGCGTCTGGGCTCGTGCGAAAGCGCTATGAGCACCACGTGGAGCAGTGGGGACTCAGCCTGGATGACTTTGCGCGTGGGGAGCTGGGGAACACGTTTGCCGTCCTTGGGAACTCAACGCCGTGCGCACTATGGGTGCTCTTCCACATCTTTTCCGACGACCGAGTCTTGGCTGATGTCCGGAGCGAGGTCTCCGCCATGGTAAAGTTCAGGGAGGAAGACGGCGTGAACTGCCTTGACCTGGCTACCATCCGGACGTCTTGTCCCATCCTTTCGAGTACCTTTCAGGAAACCCTCCGCTTCCGTGCTGTCAACTCTGGACCTCATGTCGTCCTTGAAGAAGTCCTCCTCAATGATCGCATTCTGCTCAAGAAAGGGAGCATGCTTATGATTCCGGCCCCTTTGCAGCACACAGATACCTCAGCATGGGGTGACAACGTCAACAATTTCGACCACATGCGTTTTGTCCATAGTCAAGGCCAGAACTTGAAGAGACCAAATCGAGTGGCATTCCGCGCCTTTGGTGGTGGTCACGTCTTATGCCCTGGGCGACATTTCGCAAGTACCGAGATCATGGCTCTCGCGGCATTATTAGCGCTTCAGTTCGACTTTGTGCCTACGAGCAACGGGGGCAAATGGGTTGAGCCCACCTGGAAGAACTCGCCAATTCAGGCGGGATTTCCTATTCCAGACAAGGATATCGACGTCGAGCTTCGGCCCAGAGACCCAAGCAAGAAGTGGGAAGTCACTTTCACCGGCTCAGAAGAGGCTATGGGGATTGTTTCTGAGGATATCGACCCTTGTTCAGAGTAGTTACACAAATCTTTCGTGCGATAATACTAAGAATGTAATTAAAAGGCACATGTTTACGAGTCCTGGGGTTGTTAAAAGGCCAAACAGCAGGGACATGTTGTCGAGGACCTCTAACCCGCGATTGTGCAGTGTCTCATTCCTGATCAAGGTCATAAATGTCGCGGTGCCCATCGTCAACCCAGTTCTCAGGCGGCCACTCGGGATTATTCTTGTGGAACTCCTTTCCAACCTTGAGCATGTACTCGGGAGCAGGCCGAGACTTGGCACCAGCCGGTTTCTTCAGATCGAACTCGCTGAGGTCGCGCAGAGAGATGTCTTGGTATCCGTCCAAAACAGCCTGGAAGTCCCAGCACTTGCGCCAGATGTTGACATCGGAAATCGGGATCTGGAACTCGTCCAGCCAGCGGAACACTGTGGTGCTCACAGAGTCAGAGATATGACAGATATGGGAAATTACTGGCGTTATGTGACACGGAACGGAAAAGGGGCGGGGAAGCATTCTAGGAAACACTCACGGAAAACTCCAGGATCCGGCGCGCACGTCAGATGCTCCATCAACACCATGATGCAATGCGAAACGTGTGTATCATGAAACGGTACGCTGCCCGTGCCGTTGGGCCAGTAATGGTCCTGGTAGACGGTCTTGCGGAGGTAATCAAGGCAGTGGAGGTTGTGGAACGCGGCCGCCTTGGCCACGTACCTCTCCTCGCCGTCCACCCAGAATTCCTCAGGCAGTTTCGCGACCACATCCGGGTCCTTGCGCATCGCTAGGATATCCTCCTTCGTGACGGGGAGGATATGCTCGTCGATGAGCTTCTCCCATGCCTCGTCGAGTGCATCATTGGGCAGGTCGCGCCATATACCCTCGCCTCCGTCTCCAGCGCCGTCGCCGTATTCGGCATGTGCTCGCCGGGGAACAAGCGGTAGGTCTCCGATATTGTTGAGTAAAGGAGCTGGAATAAGTTAGACATTAATGCAGAGGCAGCCTTGGTTCACCTGATGTTACTTGCAATAGAGTGAGGAGTCTCTCAGGACCGTGTCGACGTGGCGGTCATGTTGCCACCAGAGCCAAAATCCACGGGTGGATAGAAGGAATAGGAGGATGTTGGCGATGATTAGAGGGTTTCGGATCATCCTGCTTGCGGTTTGTCCCTGACTTCGAGGCTGAGATGACCATTTAAGGTCTTCCTCATTGTCGTAGTTGACATGATTCAGTAAATGCACGGCGTCCTCTGGATCCTTGCTGTGTTTCTGTATGGGAGAGTCAGAATCCCTCATCTTTGGGGCTGTTATATTTATTGAGGAGGGTATGGAAGTATTTGAGAAATGAGAGGTGCACATGTGCTCCCTCCTCACGCCTACCTAAGATATTCATATAATATCGTGTTTGGGAAGACTCCACTCGATATGCTTTAACACACTGACTCTTTCTACCCTTAATGTCCTGATGAGAGAGGAGTGCTCTTACTGTAATTTTTGACGGTCTTGGACTTTAAGATGGCGCCAAGCTCCGTGTGATACATCCCTCCAAACTCTATTCTGCCTGCCGCCCCTGATTACGATGTATTTACTCACATACCCTGTTGAGAGCGACGGTGACAGTAACTTGGTGGATATGTCTAAAATGACTTATTCTTATCTCGTAATATTTTTGATCGTACTCTCCTCCCGCTGATTCATGCCTCAGCAGCTTCAACTATACCGGGTGACTAGAAAATCGTACTGCCATGTGGCATTGACATGTCAGGTCCTAAGAACTTCTCTCATAAGGCCAAGCCTGAAATTACTCACGATGTATAACTGCGACTCTCTCTCTCTCTCTCTCTCACCACTTTGTATCAGTTCATATTATCAAGCGTTACAGACATAAGACGGCAGTCTCTGTAGACCAACCTGACATACAAGCTGGCCACTTGCGTATGCCTGAAATACACTTAGCATTTGTGTTTCGTTAGGCTTCCGAAGATGTTTCCGGTACTTCGTGCTGTAACATCCGAAACATTCTATAGAGCAGGAAAAGACTTTCGCGTAAAATGTGACAGAGTCATGACATGATACGCAAAAGGGGATACTTCTCCTTCCGCGGAACATTTCTTCTTCCGTCACTCCACACTTACCGCTGGTTTTGAATAACAAGCCGGGATGATGCCGGCTTCTGGACCTTACTGTCTCGATCGGTCCGTGGAATGTCGACAGCTATTGAATCAGCGGTGACAGCGATGGAACTGAAAGTCGTCGAGTCCACACCGCCGAGAATTTCCTCACTTTTCAATAGTGTCTGTTGTATGTGGTCCCATGTAGTCCAAAGACTATAATGCATAGCTTTACCCGAGACTTCTCAAAATTCTGATGATCAATCGACCGCTAATACTTTTATGCAAAAGTCAGCTTTTTAGTTGCCCGCATTACAAATTGAGGTACGGTGTTGAGCGAGACGAAGACCACAGTCTGGACCCGGAAACTCGGCCGAAAGGATCGGCTCCGGGCGTGGAGCTTACCAATTGGTTGCTATCCCCTAACAGTACGCAACGTATCACAAATCACCGCAGATCGAAACCCCCGGGGCCCAAGATCGGGCTGCACAATGCACGTATCGACCAACAGATGCTTGAATGGATGCCTAGGCATGCTGACAATCCTGACGGCCTGGCCAGAACGAGGCGCCCAGCTGAACGGTGAATCTAGATCCTTTGCCCTGTTGGTGGATCCTGCGGTGGCATTTTTGCTGGGACAGGATCTCTGAACTGACCAACCAGGCAAGGGCTGGATTTATAAGTCTCGGCCGAGGCACCCCGGCTGAGTTTTCGGAGCCGGATGTTATCACGGACTCGCAATGGGTACATATAGGCCATGGGAAACTGTTGAAGTTGAGTTGCAGAATGCTGTTGATCACTCCTCAGTCCCATCAGCCCTCAGAGTATTGGTATCACTATTTCAATACGCTAAATCCCAATTCTCAATTGACACCAGCCAAAACCAAGTCCGCTGTAATTACTCAACCATACAACTGTCACCACCTCCTCCTCCCCCCCCCCCTCTTCCCACCGTACAACTCAGACAACCCCCACAACAAACCCAAAATGCAAATCCTCCTCCTAGGCGCAACAGGCCGCACAGGCCTCCTAGTCCTAAAAGAAGCCCTCGCCCGCAACCACACAGTCACAGCCCTGGTGCGCTCCCCGCAGGGCCTAGAGGCAAGCATCCCCGCCGACCACCCCAGCCGCCCCAACCTGACCACAGTCGCCGGGTCCCCCCTAAACGCCGCCGACGTGGCTGCCGCCCTCGCAGCCTCCCCGTCGCCAGTGGACGTCGTGATAACAACCCTCAACCCCCGCCGCGCCTCAGACAGCCCCTTCGCGGCGGTCCACCCGGCCGACTCCCCGCCGCGCATGATGGCCGACAGCATGGCCGGGGTGCTGGCGGCCCTCAAGAACAGTAGCAGCAAAAAGACCGCCAAGGTCGTCGCCCTCAGCGCCCTCGGCGCGGGGTCCTCGGCCGCACACACCCACTGCCTGCTGCGGCTGCTGTTCCGGCAGAGCAACATGCGGTTCACGTACGAGGACCACGACGCGGTGGAGGAGGTGCTGGTGCGGCAGCAGCGAGAGGCCGGGGCCGTCCCGCACGTGCTCGTGCGGCCGACGCGGCTCGTTGATGGCGAGGAGGGCGGAGCCGCGAAGGTGTTTGGCGGGAATGGGACCGTGGGGATGATGGAGACCATCTCGCGGGGTGCGGTGGCAAGGTTCCTGGTTGATGCTGCCGAGCGGGGGGAGTGGGATGGGAAGGCGCCTATTATTGTTGGCTGACTGGGCCCCCGGTTTATTTTCAGCCTCGGCAGTACTCTCTCTCTACTTGCCCTAAGATATTGCACAGCGTCCAGCACGGGATTTGAACCATGGGATGAGCAGAAGTTGGTATAAGCGATGAGTAACCGTAAAGCATTCTTTTCTCTTTCTTCTAGATGGTAGTTTGGAAACGTTGTCAAAAATTGGGTATATAGAGTGCTGATAAAGACAGACAGAGGTCTATAAACAAGCGTTGAAAACGAAAACAAGTTGGATATCTAAAACTCTTCTTTCTCTCTCTTGCCGCACCAAAAAACCAACAACTTTGATATGCATGCCCCTAATGCCAGCCCAACCAGACCCGACCGGCCACCACCTTGGGGTGGGTATGAATCTTTTTTGGGGAAGAAAAAGAGAAGGAAGCCAAAGAAGAAGGTCTCGGAGAAGAAAAGAAGAAAAAAGCGTATAAGTAGGGGTATCAAGTGAAGAAAAAATCCAAGAAGTAAAAACATAACAAAAATGAGAAGTATAAATGATCGAAAATGGTCAAAGAGGCAGCCGCCGGCTTTTCCCTGTCCTCTTCTGGCCGAGTCTCTTCCCACGCTGCGTGCCCTTCGACAGCGCCATCTCCGTCCCAGTATGCATCAAGCAGCTCCTACATAGGGCTCCGCCCTCATTTCCTTGTTTGATCGTCCAATTCGAACGGCATGTGAAGTCTCCCATTGACGAGATTCAGTCTCAAGAATGGAGGACACGGCCATGGTCGACCGGAAGTCGTGGCGGGCCTCGTCTTCCCGAGATAGAAGACATCCGGTCCCACCCGTCCACCTCGTTTCGTAAGTTTTTGTGTGTATGATAGCGTCGCTCGTGATTCCGATCCGCCCACCGTGACATTCCAGCTTTTGTTCCTCGTGTTTTGGTTTGCTTTGCGTTGCTTCGATGTAACACCAGCCTCACAGCCCCGGTATAGACTCTCCTTTTTTGGTCGCAGCGCACAATGGAACTCCACTGCAACACTACGAGACCCAATGAGTTTTCTTCCTTTTTTTAAAAAAAAATGTTTCGAGAGGGATAAGCACGACGAAGTGCCTACGATCGAGCGTCGTCTAGTTCAGGCCGACCGGGACAGTCGCTAGGTCCCACTGGTCCATGTCCCAGTAAGAGAAGTCATCGAAGAACTGCCGAGGAAGCAGCCAGGTTAGCAAAGCCAGCCCTCATCATCCAGCAGCCACACCACAGAACGGACTCAGCATGGAAGCAACACTCACAGTGGTAGGACTATACCCCGTGCCCCCACCACCAACAGACCCATACGAGCTCCCATCAAGCAGTCCTGCGCCACCGCTTCCAGCAGAACCAGACCCACCACTGCCAGGGGGCCCGGGCATGCTGGCGATAGCCTCAGGGCTGGCGTTGAGCGCGGCGGACCCGGCGTCCACAATGCGCGCGACGCCCCTCGCGATGCGCCGCGCCCGCTCGTCTGGGGTCCCGCCCGCCACGGAACCAAGCACCACCGCCAGCACCACCGTGTCCTTGAGCAGGTCGCACGCGGGGTCGTCCTTGACCATGGCCGCGAAGCTGTCCAGCGTTCCCTGCACGGCGCGTGTCATCCCCTGCGTCGACCACACCATGCGGTTGTCTAGAGCGTTGGTGAAGCTGATGCCCCCGCTGTTTATGCCGCCGTCGTATGTGCGCGCGTACGTGTGTGTGTCCGGGCTTGGGAGCTGGCCGTTCATCGTGGCTGTGGGAGAGGTAGTCGTGCTGTGGGGTCGATGGGCCTGCTGCTGCTGTTGGTGTTGGTGTTGGTGTTGATTGGCGAAATGCTGCTGGCGCACCATCTGCTGCTCCTGCTCCTCGCTGGCCAGCTTGATGAAGTAGCAGACGCTGAAGGCGGCCTGCATGATATCGTGCTTGAGGACAACGTGGTACATGTGGCTAACGTCGCCGAAGCCCGGGGTACGCGGGTCCAGCTCGTCCATGTAAGTCAGCATGGTCATGGAGGACTTGAGGTAGCTGGTGGTGATGTGGGCAGGGCACTCAACAGTGCTGAGGGCGAATGGCCGATACAGCGCCAGCAAGGGGCGGCGCACGTGCATGTCCAGCAGGGCGCGCATGCGCCAGTCCTTGAACTTGGCCCGCGGATCCAGCGTCTGGTTGCGCCGCGGAAACAGGTGATTGACGTCGTCTAGCAGCTGCTCCAGCTTAGTGCCGCAGTCGAGCACCTCGTGGAAGTCGCGGATAGTATCGAGGCGGTTGATGATGGTCGACACGCGAATGCGGTGGGCCAGCGTACGCGAAGCGTATGCCTGCAGCTGTGTATTGGTGTACTCGTCGATGGGCCTAGACGGCGGGAGCGCCTTCATGTCCGGGAAGATGTCGGCGTCGTCGAGGTTGCTCGGCGGGCGGCACGTGTACTCGCCCTCGCGGACGGCCCCGGGTAGGTTGCAGGCCAGCGCGAGGTGCAGGTCCATGTCGACAATGGTGTACCACATGCGCCGGCGCAGCTCGGCGTAGAAGGGTCGAATCTGTGGGAACTCGTCCGGATCGCGGTGCAGGCCCATGGTCATGGCCATGCGCACGATGAAGCCCAGCTGCGCCCACGACTCCTGGTTGCGCGACAGCATCATGCGTGACGCGTGCAGGTGCAGCACCTCGCACTGCAGCGTGTCCATGTCCACCAGCTGCTTGCCCCGGAGCCCGTCGAGCCACGCTCGCGTGAGCGCGCATGCCGTTGGCGCGTTGATGCCGTCCGCGCGGTCGTGGCTCAGCCCTCGCGCTTCCGTCTCGAACCGCGCGCCCAGCGAAAGCATGCACATCAGACGCGGGAGGAAGCCGTCCGACACGCCCGTCTGGGCCCAGAAGGCCTCGTACTCGGCCTTGAAGGACGGCACATGGACAATGCGGTAGATGCCCTCGGACATGGAGATGTACGCGTCCAGCAGCCGATCGCAGGTCGCCTTGCCTGGCAGAATGTCGGCCATCCTCTTCTGCACCGGCAGCATCGAGTCGGTGAAGACCGAGATGGGCGCCAGCGCCCGCTTGTTTTCCTCCTGCAGGGCGCGGTGGATCTTGTGCAGCTGCTCGAACAGCATCCTGATGTCGCCGCCCCTCGACTTGCTGAAGATGAACTCCCTGGCCTCGTCAAACAGGTTCAGCAGCACCCTCGTGCTGTTCTGGCCGAAAAATCGGGTTCGCAGGTTGCCCTTGACACTCAGGCTCCGGATCGTGGCCGGCGACCCCATCACCGCGGCATAAGCCGCGTAGGGGTTCCGCGACGGGCCCCATTCCGCTGCATGTGCGGCTCCTCCGGCGGTGGAGGCGGGGCTCGAACTGAAGACGAACTTCTCCAGCCGCTCCAGCCGGCTGCCAAACTGCTCGAGCACCGACCCTGGCACGCCACGAGGCTGCTGCTCACCGACGCCCCCCAGCCCCGCTGCCGCTCCAGCCCCCAGCCCCAGGCCCATGGGCCCGGGGCCTGGCTGCAGCTGTGGTGATGGTGCGTCCAGTGGATATGGTGGGGCCGGCCGGTACTGGCGCTTGGCGGGCCTAGGAGAGGCCTCGACGTCGGATCCCTCGGACCCAGGGCCGATCTCGTGCTCGTTTGCGTACTTGCACACGCGGTTGGACTTTTGGCACTGCGAGCAGGGGCAGGTCCGGTCGCAGCGCAGCTTGCGCTGGCGGCACGAGTTGCAGCTCTTGACGGGCCGTGGCCGTTTGACTGCCTTGCCCGTCGAATTTGGGCCGTCGAAGACCATGGTGGTCATGTTGGACGCCATGTTGGCGACGGGCGCCGGCCGCTCGGTTATCTGGACGGGGAAGCCGGGGGCGCTGGGTGCCGTCGTTGAGGTAGGAGTGGTGGTAGAGGCGGAGCCGGATCCATTGTCCTGGACCTGGACCTGGACTCCAGGTATGGGTGTTGCCATACTCGTGTGTGGCGAGGGAGCATCAAGCCGCGAGGCGCGTGCGGGAAGAAGAATAGGAATCGGGACGCTGAACTGGGCCCGGAATCATGGGCGTCGGGCGCCGATGTGAAGTGACGGGTGCGGGACACTGGGTCGAGCCCGAGCTGCGCTTGTGTGCAACGGGCAGCCTCTTTCGAGCTTCAGCGCAGTATCAATTGGGCGCCAAGTTTCGGTCGGCCGAGATGTCAACTGCGTGGATTATTGAGAGTGATCCGAGATTAATGCTACAGCAGCAGAAATGTGAATGCCAGTTCACCGAAGCGATGAAGAGACAGGGAGTCGGGAGAGGTGGGCGCCAAGAAGTACAATCCCGAAGGCGTGCAGTCAATGCAGTGCAAAGAGCTATGCGGTGCAAGTGTAATGCGGTACGGCGCAGTGCAGGCCGAGGCACAACAAGGCACACGCAGGAATGTTATGCTTCAGCTGCTCGATTGACGGAGACCGTGCTCGGGTTTTCAGGTCTTGCACCATGCGACACAAGGCAAGGCAGTGCAAGACAAGACGACTTAGCGGCTGGGTGGTGCGAGGAGGTGATCGTCTGCCGGCGGACAGTGGTCTCGTGTAAGAGAGAGTGGATGTATATGTGGTCGTGGTCCTGGCCGCGGCTGTGTGTGGGGGGGGGGGTGTATATGTGTTGGTGTATGTGTGTGTACACGAGGACGAGGGATATAGAGAGAGGGTGGGAGGGGCGAGGATGAAGATATCTCTGACAGGTGATGTGTGTGTGTGTCTGCGCACACGCAGGCAAGAGATGTGCAGATGTGCGTGGGATAATATGATGGATATCTGATGCTCTCCCGCCTCTGGGTCTGTCGCTGCCGTCTGGGGCCTGGCTTGGCTCTGGCTCTGGCTCCGGCTCTGGATCTGGCCCTGGGGTGCGTGTGTGTGTGTGTGACAGACAGTATGCGTGTCTGCCCTGCCGCCCCAGTTCGGCTCCGAGAGGGCAAGCAAGGGAGGCTAAAAAAAGGGTAGTAGTGGTGCGGTCTGCTTTGGTAGGCGACGGAGAAAGCCGTCGAGGAACCAAATAGCTGTTGCAGCTGTGCAGCCCGTGGTGGCCGTTGAGCGCCTAGCCCCGGCGGGGACGTTTAAATCAGCACGTAATCTCTTGTGCGCCGCGTGGGTGTTGTGCGCGCGCCGATCATGCTTGAATTAGAAATTGTGCTGTGGAGGTTGTGATGATTTGACGCCCGCGAGGCTCACGAGGGCCAGCTGTGGTTGGAGATTGGACATGCACCGGGAGATGAGATGGACGTGCGAGTGTCGAGTCGACAAGATGAGACGATGAGACTCTCTTTCTTCGGACTGGGACTGGGACTTAGACGGGCCTGGGTGTCGAGCACTGTGGGCCGAGACTGAGAATTGAGGCCTCAGGGCCCAGACAGAGTCAGACTCGAGTAAAGCAGAGAAGTAAAAAAAATCCCTGGCTTGATCGGCCGGTCCTGCCAACCCGTTCCCCGGTCGTGTCGTGTGCCGGGTTCGAGTCGAGTCGAGTCGAGTCGAGTCGAGTCGAGCTGGGCCTGTGCTGTACGTATCTTCTACTGTACTGTGCTGCTGCTGTCCTTGTCCTTGTCCCGTGTGGCCTTGTCTGTCCGTCCTTCTGTCTGTCTGTCTGTCCAGTAGCAGTAGGCGTGTGTGAGTGTGTGTGTGTCTGTGTATTATGTCGTGTCGTGCCCCGGTGGAATGGAGAATGATTTTCGAGTGCTGATCCCTTCTACGACGGCTGGGCGAGTGGCCATCAAGCTTCTGCAGGTCCCAGCATCGGACTGTAACTGGATTGGTGTGGACCGGGTTCGGTGTGAGGAGAGATGGATGCCCACTGCAAGTCCGTCCCTGTCCCGTCCGAGCTGGAGCTGAGCTCGCTCAGTCTGTGGGTGTTCTAGCCGGGAAAGAGCGTGTGCGAGTACCTAGGTAGTGAGCGTGGGTGTGAGAGTGACGGGAAGGTACGCGGAGCTGCTGCTTCCAAAATGTCGGGCTCCACATCTGCGGTCCAGCCCAGACTTGTCCCGAAGAGGGCAATTCAAGTCAGTCAGTCGGTCTGTCAGCCTGTCTCTGTGTCCGCCTTTCTGTCTGTTCGTCTGCGTGTCTGCTTGTCTATACCCTGGTGTGGTGTCTCTCTTTCTCTCAGTCCATGCAGTCTCTTCGTCTCTCGGACTTTTTTTCACCAATTCTGTGCCGTGTTCCTCCGCCCTCTCTCATGCATACAGAATGTCACGTCGTCCCTTGCTCCCTTCCTCTTACAGTAGTCCAGCTCGAGCCCACAGTTCAAGTGTCCGTTCCGTTGGCCCCATAAAATGCTCAGTCTGGGTGCAACGCTGGACGGGCCGGGATTATGATTTCTCTGGGGCCCTGGACTTTTAACTGCTTCTGACTCGCCTTGGCGCGCCGCCCTCGAGCCCGGAAATCTCCTGCGTGCTGGCCGATAATCTGATAATTATTACCAGGTGGCTTCCAATGCCTGCCAACCACATGGCTAGTCTGAACCTGCGGGAATATTTCCCTCTCAACCCCCTCCCCCTCCCACTGCCCTCGCAGCGTTGCAGCGTTCCCAGCAGCCTTGGAACACCCCGAGCTATCTCCACCATGATGAAACCACGCTGTAATTATCAAATCGGGCTGTCCTTAGTTGCATTGAGGGCACACAGGGCATCATCATGAACCTGGAAACGCTGGACAGGCTGGACCAGAAGGGCTGAGGAAGCGCACGAGGCAATCTCATGCTCGTCGCTTTCGGAAGCAGGCCTGCAGCTGCCCATCTCCGGCCATCTCCATCCCCACAAGCAACAAGGAAGGCACACGCCCGCGCCCACGCCGCCCGAATCGCACATACCCTGAAGACTGTAGTGTACTGTACTGCAGCATCAAGCACGTTCCCACCGTTCGCCCCATCTCGCATCGCCGGGTTGAATCAAGCAATTCTGGCAATTCCGCCCTTTCCCTGCGCAAACCCAGCCCAACACGCCAGGCCACGCCGGGATGCCCACTCTGACCCGTGCTTGCCGCCGAATGCGTGTCCACCCGCCTCGCCCACTCAGCTCATCTTCCGGCTGACGGGGCTGTCGATGGAGTTTTGACGTGCTGAGCAGCTTGAGCTTTTACTCAGTGCTTACTACACGCGGGTCCGTCATGAGCTACAGCACAGTGGGCTTCCAATGACGCTACGGTCTGTTCGTTGGAATCATACCTACGCTCCGCACGTTGCATCGAGTCGTTCATGGCAGAGTTGCAGGGCCAATAAGCATGATGCACGCGATCCTCGATCCAAAACACGCTCCCTGGGGTTGCATCCGGTTGCCCTCCCCTCCCTGACGGCCTCGATCCTTCTTGCTCATGTAAGCCCATGGGACATGTGGAAAATCTCTTTTCCTCGATCCCTCCTACCAGACGACAGTACGGTTGCTATGATCCTTCAGCTGTTCCCAAGCTGTGCCACAGCGGCGTTTGCACGCTAGACCACCTAGGTACACCAAATCGTAGACCCTGCCAGGCAAACCCCAGAATACCACGCTGCCCAGGAACAAGGCCCAACGGAGCTTGGGGTGGCTCGGGAGGTCGTGCGTCGTTCTGGCTCTGCGGCCACGGAGCCGACCATCCCCCCTCCAGAGGAGTCCAGCCCCCAAGGCCAGCCCACTGCATGCAGGGACTGGTCCTGTCCCGTGGTGTCCCGTCGTGTGCAGGCACGACACCTAAAATGGTCAAACGTCGCAGCGTGCCCCTGAAAGACCTGCTTCTGAACCCGCCCGCCCTCCTTCCGGGCCGAATGATCAGCGTCGCTCGCACGGCCGAGAGGGGGTGGTGCAGAAATGACCCAAGTCATGACTGACACTGACAGGCTGGGAACGACCGGACGGCAGCCCACAACAGAGCAGCGAGGCAGCAGACAGGCTCGACAGGGCAGTGATCCGCCCGTCCGTGATCAGCAGCGAAAGAGCTGGGCCCAAATCAGGATTTGCCCTCGTAGGGCATAGGCCTCCGGGCGCGGCATTTCTCGAAGGGCTGGCTCCTCCGGCCGTCGACAGCCCCCACGCGTTACACAGTAGATGGGGCATCGGCTCGGGTGTCATGTCATTTTTTTGCTTCTCTGGTTTTTGCTTCTGCTGGGCTGGGCTGGCTCTTCCTTGCCCAACAAGCTTCTTCTGCCCTGTGCTCGAATCAATCAAAAACACACTCACACACTCACACTAGAACACGGACCAACCAGTGTCGCATCTGTCGCCGCCACCAGACGCCACTACAGGTAGCAGAGAGATGCAGCGTAGTAAGCACATCTAGATGGCATCGCCATCACACCAGATGCGCCAGATTCACGCCAGATATGCTTAAACCCAGGTGCGTGCTACGGTTGTACCGGCCTCTCGGTTCGGCTCTCGCAGTTCCGTCCATGGCCTTCCCGGATGGGAATACATACCCGCCCCGTCAGGCCCGTTTCGCAACCTTCTGGGCCGCAGCAGCGATTTGCCCTCGGCCGAACCTTGGGCTGTATCGGCCGCCACCTGCCTGCGGCAAGGTGCCTCTGCGTACATGCCAGCTGTTACCGTATGCAGTGTAGCCATACGCAAGCAACCCACTGGCCCAACGCCCCTCAGGCTTCAGGCGTACCAACAAATGCATAGCACAGTATCATCCGACGGGAATCCAGACTAGTCCAAGCGATGCGACGCATACTCAGTCTCCAGGCTGCGGGCCATGTGTCGCCTCCGAGAAAAAGACGGACGCTAATTTACTGTTGCATCACATCAAAGCAGGACACGACATACGGAGAGGGGCGGAAGTGTCCCGCCCCTCTGGACTGGACCCCTAAATCCACACCAACACCTACACCACCACGGCCACACCTTCTTGAGTGCGCGCATGTTAGTGGTCTAGTCTAATCCACGATTATTTCACCGGCCAGCCATCGCCACCCCGTCCCGCGTACGCAGGCCGAGGAAAATACGACAGGTTATTCCCTCAATGCCATTCCATAACCTAAAAATTCATGAAACTTATAACACTAGGCACGCCACCCATATGCCCCCAACCAGTAGACGGACCAGCGGACGGGCAACGGCACCTCGAGTCGGCACTCTCACTCTCAAACCAACCTCAAGCCAACTCAGGTCTGGTCCGGTCCTTTTCTTTTCTCGCCCCCGTCAAACCCACCGGTCAACGGTTGGGCCCGTGAACATGGAAACAGAACACAGACCAATCGCCATTTCCCTCAACTCATCACACACAGACCAGACCCATCACACATCTCATCTCATCTCACCCACCAACCCCTGTCCTTACCAAGATAACCGTATATTACCAAATCTTGCCATCCATGGGTCCCCTTCCCTGATCCCGTTTCGCCCGTACAAACGCCCGGATCACGTGTGGCCCAGGTTCCACATCCCATCACTCAACCCTCCCAGGCCCAGACCGCCGGCCCAAAGCAGAAACCCACGGGCCCAGCCAGCTAGCTACCCAGCAAGTCAGCCCTCCCTCGCTCGGGTTTCCGAGTGGATGGGGAAGGATGTGGATATCTAGGTGCTGTCGCAACGAGCTCACAAATGAGGGCGTGCACGCACCACCACCACCAGGGGGGGACGAGAACCTCCCCTCCACTCCAGCTCCCACCTCCCAGCTAGTAGGGCCGGCCGTGGAATGGGGTTTCTCACCGGACCCAGCCGGTGGGCTCAAGCGAAGACGACAGCAGGAAAAGTCGGGGGCACATAATCTACCTCCTTGCGCGCATCCAGTCCCCACGTAACGTACGCACGTTGCTACGTAGGATAATCACCCCAGGCCCGGACCGCCCGCAGGCCTCCCTCTCTCCCGACTCAACAAAAACAAGGTCCGAAGGAGAGGAGGGAGTGCAGATCGCGCGCGCGCAAGAGCGGACACAGGGCTGGCTGATACGCGTGATCCGTGGTAGTCGTGGGTCCCCCAGGAAGCAAGCGGGCGAGAGAAGCAAACAAGAGAAGACGAAATCCTGCACGGAGCACCCGGGATGATCTCGCGGAGGATTAAGATCATCGGTTCCGAGATATTGCGACAGACCAGCGAGTAACGCCATACACGCGGAAGAGGGGAGGGAGATAGAGGGGAGATGATGGCGGGCGAGGTGGGTTAGCTAGGCACGGCCAGGTGGTCGGTGCGCCGTGATCACCGCCCACTTATTTACTTACTCAACCGTCCACTCTGGCGTGGCCGCGCCGTATAACCCAGTCGACCATCGCCTCAGCTTTGCGCCCGCCCGCCCTCGCTTGCGACCTTTCACAGGCCTGCTGGGACCAGACGGGAGAGCCGCACGCGACCGCGCGGGGGATGTTCCTTGCCCTTCCCGCCCGCCCAGAGGTGGAGGGGATCAAGTCCGGACTTGAACTGGTTGAGCTGGAAGGAATCCACTTCCCTTGTCTTCCCCGGCGGAGACGAACCAGCGAGTGAGGAAGAAGTCGTACGTAGTAAGACTCGAAAGGCCCTCCTCTGTCTCTCGGTTCGCACGCCTTCCCCGGAGCCCCGGGGCCGGGGTGGCGCCGAGGAATAATGGGGTTGGGGACGGTGATGCCGGGTCCGGTTTTCGTTTACCCTCTGGAGCCTAACGTTTGGCTCCGTGCGCTTTCTCTGGTGCGTGCTCTCCCTCTCTCTCTGTGTGTGTGTGTGTATGCGTCTCTCCCAGCTCTCTCGCCTTCCCTCTTCCTTTCGCCTCTGTCGATCACCCGTCACATCTCGGGCACTCCTCGGGATCAACATCACCATCATCAGCCTTAGGAGCTAGCTAGCCTCAGAAGATGGCGCGTCGCTTGTTTCTACGTTCTACGTGCCTTGCCACCCACACCCGGCGGTTAATTGTGACGCCGAAACTGAGTCGTCATTGGAGCGCCAGTAAGTCTCTAAGCATCATAGGAAGGGACCTCGAGTTTCAGATGGGCATGATGGATACAAAGGCAGGAGGGATGTCGCTCCGGCCGAGCGAAGATGGTAGGTGCGTAGACCAAGTCGCCACCGGGCCAGAAGCATCGCTAGTCACAGGAGCGTAGATGGCTGGTCTTCTGCTACACAATGCGAGGTAGCCAGGTCTGGCACCGGCCGGTGGCCTGGGGCGTTGTATGACCTGCGGGAACAACTCGCCCTGTGCACCTACCTACCATGGCCGAGGCAGTCCGAGCCCCTAGAGTGTTGTTTGGTAGTCCATGCCCAGAGCGCTGGAGGGTGTGGCGGCCCGATGCGATGCGCCCCAATGGCAGCTTTACCCCAATGACCGCTTTCTCCTGGCATCATCTGTCAATGGTGATGCAAACCGAAGTCACCAGCAGCCTTATTTCTCCAGTATGGCTCTCCAATGTTGTCGTGGCCGTATGATTGTTTCCGTGGAGCCAGCCAGCAGAGGCCCGGTCCAGGCCCCGCGCGCGCATCCGCCGCTGACCAGCGCGCCCACATGCACGCATCAACACGTTCGGAGATGAATGGCCCCAGGTAGGAAGGACCCAGGAAAAAATAACGTTGTTGATATTATCAAGCTCTTTTCTCCGTCCCTCCCGTGCTCTCATTCCCCTCTCGCACCGCTCACACGCGTGCCTCTTGACAACGCTCCATACCGGCGTCCCAAGTTAAACTCACTCAGCGCCATGGTATCAGCTGGCTGGGCAGCTTGCCCCCAGCCCCTCGCCGATCGTGTTCGTCTCCCAGCAGCATCTCTCCTCTCAGCAGCCGGCCCCTCAGGCAGCAGCAGCGACCTCGACGCTCTGAGCCACGCCGTCGGCCTCGCCCGTGTTGACCTTCTTGCCCGTCTTGGCGATGGTCGAGAGCACCTTCTCGTAGGGAAGGTCCTCCTTGGCCACGACGGTGGCGGTCTGGCTCTCGAGGGAGACCTCGTACGACTCGACGCCTGTTGGTGGTGATACGTCCGTTAGCTGAGTGTTCCCGACCATAGTGTCTCGGTCCTTGGTTCCTTTGGTCCTCTGCCTTTCGGTGCAGGGGATGAAGGCAGGGTGGTTGGCTGGATGGACTGGGGACCGGCTTACCCTCGAGCTTCTTGAGCACCCTGTCGACGGCGCCGGAGCAGCCGGAGCAGCTCATGCTGACGTTGAACTTGTAGGTGTGTGTGTCGGCCATTGTGATGTGTGTTGACTTGTGTGTGTCTGTGTCTTGGTAGGTCGATAGATCGTGGGATGTCGTGGGGAAGACAGGTGTCGCAGTCACAGAAAAGGGAGAGCTGTCGTCTGTCCTAAGGGTCTCGAGTCTGTTTCGGGCAGGTGGTTGGTGGGGTCGCGGGGTAGGCAGGCGCCGTGCAGTAGATCCCGTTTGCAAACTAGTGGTCGTAAGGCTTGGCTCTTCGATGGTTGATCGTCACGAGGAGATGCTGTTCAAATACTGGGTGATTATTGGAGGGAAAGAGCCAGAATGGGATGACCTTTGATTATATATCTACCGACCTACTTACGTGGCTTTGTCACCGTCCGAGCTGAGACGCTGCCGCCAGGGGTGGCAGATGGGAAGGGAGCGCCGGTTGATTAGAAATGTCGTGTGTGTGTGGCACTGTTGTATTGTGTACACCTGTCCCGTTCGGTCACGACCAAAGGCCAGAAGCTTTCATTGTCACTCCAAATCGACCAGTCACCGATTCGCCTGAACGATCACAGCTGCTGGCCGCACGGATTACGCCATCTCATGGACGTCTGAGGGAGCGAGCTGCCCCCTGCGCAGGCGGCCGGGCCATCGCGCCCAACGGCCAGGGGGATCACAGGCGGGTAAAACATGCTCAGTCTCGAAACTATGCCAGGGTCAGTCATTCAGTTCAGTCACCTCAACCTCACCTACGGTGGGACATCTGGGTGACACTGGTGTCCGGGAGACAATCTCGCTTCATGAGCAAATATTCAAAGGCACGGCATGGGGTCATGTAAAGCTCGGTCGGGTATATTTTATCCTATACATATCCGGCTGAATGCATCTGGGGTACGGAGCACAGAGTCCAACATACCTGTATCAGCTTGTGCTCATCACGTAATACAGGATCTTGTTTCTTGTCTCCCGTCCCACATCCCACAGTCTCGTTTTGTGCCTTGCATGACGAATCCTTACTAGTCCTGCCGGCTTCCGAGCTTGCTCATGTCCAGCCCTGTCTGCCATGCTGCGGTGACAGCCTGGATCTCCACGCATGCATGTACTACATATGCACGCACGCAATCCTTCAGCCCGGGTATATCTGACTTCTGCGAAAGCATTCGCCTCAAATTTCTTTCCATTTGATGTGATTTTTCTACCGCCCACCTTGGGCAACCTCACAGACTCAGTGGCCCCGCCCAGCCGGCTCTAAAGGCGGCAGGTCGTCGTCGTCGTCGCCATCGTCTTCGCCATCTCGGCCGTGACTTGGGTGGACCTCGGGTGAGTCCTCGGGGAAGGCCCCCGGGATCAGATCGGGCATGCTATCCTCGTCGCCGTCATCACCCTCCTCGGGCCAGTCCGCCCATGGGTTCCCGTCCTCGCCTGCCAGCTCCCTCACCATGTCCTCGATCGTCTCCTCGTTCACCTGGCCCTGGCCGCCCCGCGCCATCCACACCGGCAGCAGCATGTTGGCCAGCCTCCCCAGCAGCCCCTGCTCCTCGGGCCCGATGGCCTCGGCGCCCTCGCCGTCTAATCCGCCAGCGTCGCCTTCCGCGTCCGCCTGCAGGCCATGCGCCGCCCGCTGCTGCTGGAGCGCCCTTTGCGCCTCCTGCAACAGATTCTCTATGCCGCCCGCCCCTGTGTACCGCTCTGGGTGCTCCGACCTGCTCCATGGGTACTCCTGCCACTCGTTGGAGAAGATGTTCTCCTCCTTTGAAGGCGGCAGCGGGTCGTAGTCGAAGTTCGGCGACGCGTGCAGCATGTCGGGCGGCACCAGCCCCATCAGCTCCGGCGTGTTGTCCAGGTAGATGAAGCGCCCGATGCTCAGCGGCACCTCCTGCGCCGGCGGCAGCGAGCTCACGTTGGGCTTCTTCGCCAGCCCGCCCGCCTCCTTGAGCAGCGGGATCGCGTCGCGCTCCTTCTTCCACAAGTCCTTGGCCATGTGTATGTACAGCTCCGTGTACAGCGCGTCGTCGTCGTTGCGCGGCTGCACGCCCCAGATGGCCTTCGGCGTGTCGATGTTAACCGCGCTGCAGAGCGACGAGTAGAGCCACGGCAGCGTCTCCATGCCGTGGACGAGGTCCTTGAGCGCCCCTTCCCGGTCGTTGATCAGGAGCTTCGCCAGGACGCAACTCTGCCTGTAGTAGTCCTTCATCGGCAGGTCGTACTCGTCGCTGTTGAAGTAGGAGGAGTTGCAGAGCTCGATGAACCATTCCGACTCGTATGCGTAGATCGCAAGGACGTGGGTGAAGTTCAGCATGCCATATTCGTCATTCGGTGAAAGACTGAGGAACAACTTGGTCCACTCCAGCGCGGTGTTGTAGGTTCCCTTCTGCAACAGGCTCTTGATGTAATGGTACCCAGCGAGCCAGAACTGCCTGTTCTCCGGCCGCCTAAAGTCCATTCTGGCCACACCCCTCTCCAGCTTCTTCCTGAAGGAGGACAGGGTGACTCGCCCGAACGTAAACAGAGCCCGCTCCAGAAGGTCCGCTGCGAGGGCCGCGTTAGAATCCCTGATAGCTACCTTGTTCGTCGTCACGAGCGAGTTGACGTGGTATGGGTTGTCGTGCACGAAGTGGACGATCCGCATGGGGTCCATCATGTCTACCAAGCTGTAAAACTGCATCTCGAGCAGCCCATAACTCCGGTCGTGCGTGAATCTGTACTCCGTCGGCTCCACCCTCTCATCCGTGACGGCCTGCATCTTCAGCCCACCGGCAGATGCCCGTGGCCAGAAGTCTTTGCCTTGCATAAAGGGGTTCTTCCTCAGCACAACCTCGGGTATCTTCTCGCCGGGCTTTCCCTTAAGGTACATCTCCATGTTGACGTCAATGTGGCCGCGCCGCTGGTTCCTCCGCCGGTCGTCCCGGGCCTGCGTCTCCTCCTGGCTGCGGACCGAGTCGATCGTTTCCTGGCCGAACATCGCCCTTAGCTCATTAATTACTTTCAGGTGGTCGAAGTTCACGCTCAGAAGTCGCGCCAGGTCGATATCGTAGTTCGCGTGCGTCTCGTGTCCTGCCGTGGCCTGCGGCTGCGGCTTCAGGCTCAGCTCCTTCAGCGCCAGGTCGATCTCGTCCAGCCCGCCCTTTGCCTTGTCTTCCTTTTCCTCCGACGGCGCAGTCTCGGCCTTCTTTGCCTTTTTCTTCTTCTTGGGCTTCTTGTTCTTCTTCGCCGGCGCCGGTTTCGGGACTTCCTCCTCCTCTTGCTCTTCTGCTACCTCCTGCCACTGCCCTTCTTGATCGGACTTGTCGTCGCTTTCATCGACGTCGTCGCCGCCTAGTGCTGCAAATCCGGCAAACGCGCTTGTGCGAGGCTTGGGCGGTGCGACCTCCTCTTCTGACGACTCCTCATCGTTGCCGGCGAGCTCCTGCAGCTTGAGGAGCTCCTTCTGCTTCTGCAGCTTCTTTAGCTGCCGACTCGACATTGTGTCTCTTGCCGGTGCCCTGCATGTGAGGGCAATGGTGTGTCGTGGTCGAGAAAGGAGTGGCGTAATCTCCGTTGGTCGGGTGGGCGTCGAGGGGCGGAATTTATGGAGGGGTCAGCATTACTCGCCGATGCTGTCATCGGCGACAATTTCTAGCAGAGCCTAACCCTGGACCGACAAGCTCCACCTAAAGACGGCAGGACCCTTGTAACACGGCGGCTCCCTTTCAGGCCTCTGTTAAATGCCTTTGTTTTGCTCCTGATTGCTTGGCCTGCTTAAACTCAAGAACCGCATGGCACTTGACTAGAAGTCATCCAATTGTCTGTGTCCGTACCTAAGTATCATGTCACAAGAAGTGCAAAGGTCAAGCGGTTCCTTCTGGCATTACGAATGTCACCTACCCAGTAACTCTAAAGGCCTGGGAGGGAATCTCAAAAAATTGTAATAGGTCCATCAAATTGTCCTTGGTGCCAACTCAACTGTTTCAGGCAAAACTTCCTGCATCATCGGTCCACCTCACAGAGATCAAAATCATCGTCTGCCTCGACTTCGGTGTTAGCTTCGGCCTTGTTCGCCTTGACAACGGGCTTGCTCTCAGGTTCGGGCTCGACCTCAGGATGCTGTATGTCGTCCAAGAGTCTCGACAAAGAAAACCGTTCCCGAAACCAAACAGCCAGGCGCTGAGCCCCATCACCGGCAGTCTGCATAATGTCTGTCACGGCCGCTGCCTCTCGTTCCCAGAAGTGACGACCCCGGATCCTCTGCTGCTCTTTCCCACATAATACGGCTCGTCTAAGGTCATGTATAGTATAACGAGCGCGGAGCCGGACACGAAACCCCAAAAAGCCCTGTTCCTAGTTGTCGGCGCCCAACGCCCCCATATCCAGATCTTGGCCAGGCCGTGCCCGGCGTAAAGCGCCTGTAGGCGCAGCTGCATCTCGCAAATCCGGCATGGCCTTTCGGGCCCGTGCTCCGGAGAAATTTCCGTCTGAACAGCTTTCCTCGGCATTGTTGAAATCTTGCTATAATCGATCAGTACGAGACTGAGTCAAGCGAGGTCTGTAGGAGATTTACCAGTTGTATAGGGAAAGTCGGCCTGGTTGGCTGCTTTGCGAAAGGTATTTGCTGCGGATACGGTGTGATCAGCGGAATTATTTCGCTTTGGAGGTCTATATGATTATTCTGAGATGAATGGTAACAATTTTCGGTCTGAGACTGAGGGCCAGCATCTGACCTATTGTGCCTTGGTACCTAACTACGTGAGTAGCGAGAATTGGTGGGCAGAAACAGGAATGGACATCAGTGGTGAGAATTAGTGCCCTCACATGGCGCGAGGTAATCTAATACTAGCGACTTGATCCCGCAGTCCATCGCGAAGCTAGACTATCTAGTTGAGCATTATCCTGCTCGCTGAGGAGCCGTCCGGGTGATTTGTCCAGGGAAACAAAACCCACCCCCGGTTAGCTTGAGACATGGTCGCGGCAAGACGCTATATTATAGACTGGAATAGAAGCAGTCCGAATGGCGCGAGTCAAAAGCTTGAATGGCATAGAAATTTTTTTAAAGCAGGTAATACCCAGCGATACTCAGCCTACATTAGTGTCATAACGGTCGCAGAATTTCGTGCTGTTAAGGTTGGCCTGCCCAAACCCTGTCTAAAGCTCCTAGTTTTGAATAGCCCAGCGCAGCTTTCTCAATCAGGATCTCAGCTCCGGCGACATAATGACAAGGTGGGCCTCATCAGCGACATCAGTGAGAACGTTGAAGAGGCAACTACATGCAAGTTATTTCCAAGATCCTGGAATGTGAAGTCTGATGTATTACAATCACATGGCAGATGCTCAAGGTGCATTCATTTAGTTCGCCGATTGATTCAACGAGAGACAATTATGTCGGAATGCGTTCCATAATTAGGCTAGTTAAAAAGATCAAGCGCTTGGATGATGGCGTGGGTGTGCAAATGGCCGGCCCAGTCCGGGTCAGCTGACTTGGCGTTCGCGTCAGAGATGGAGGTAAGCGGGCGCGACACGACCTACATCCCTGAAACGCGCCCTTTCGACGACACGCCGATGTGATTCACACATTGCAGAGCCATTTAGTGCACCGCGTCGATTACTTCATGTAAACCGTCAGTCCATCTCACTTTCCCTTTTCTTTCAACCAACACTCGCCATCTGGATGTTGCAGGAACCCCTCACTGAAATCCACCCACGAGCATCCAACCGCAATCAACGAAATCACCAACCAAGCATGGCCATCGCCACGAAGCGCAAGGCCCAGGATACCGGTCCACTTCCAGTCCCCAAAAAGACCACAAAGGTCCAAAAGACCTACCGCGCCAACACCACAGCCAAGCGGGCCACCACACCAACCACCAAGTCCAGCACCAGCACAACCACAACCGCAAAAGACATGCAGCCCCAGCTAGACCGCATAGCAGCAAGCGCCCAGACCCCCTTCCAGAAGCGCGTCCTGTCGCTGCTCTGCCAGGTGCCCCGCGGCCACGTGACGACGTACGCGCTCATGGCGCGGCACCTGGGCTCGTCGCCGCGCGCCGTCGGCAACGCGATGCGCCGCAACCCGTTCGCGCCCGAGGTGCCGTGCCACCGGTGCGTCGCAACGGGCGGCGGGCTGGGCGGGTTCAAGGGCCAGTGGCCGCGGGACGGGGAGGGCATCACGCTTGACGAGAAGAAGGGGCTGCTGCGCGGGGAGGGCGTGCGGATGGATGATGGGGGCAGGGTGCTGGGGACGCCTTTTGGGGGCTTTGTGTGAGGTGGGTGCGTCCTAGGCTGTGGGGTATATACGGATATTTTCATGGGCGCTTTGAGGATACTTGTACTTTTGGAAGGGCGGCATTTATGATGCGCTTGAATCGGTTGGTCCGAATGGATTTCAGCATTTTGCCTGACAGATCTCAGCCTGCAGCTTGCCCATTCGCTTAAACGTGGTTCAGAGAAAATAAGGACTCTGAATCCAGTCAAGTCAGTCAACTTAAAGCCACTCGAAAGAACCATTAGTCTAGCACAGGGCGCCGGAGTGCGTGCGTTGGATTTGGGGGGATCCTGGGGTTCAAAGGTTAGCATCCAAATCTGGTGTTCTAGGCACCTTTTGAGAGGCGGGGATAGCGAGTGCCTGCTTCGACGGAGGCTTCGAATGCACTCGATTCGGCAGGATCCAACTAGTTTTCATTGTTGATTAACATGGTTCCAAGCCTACTCGAAACGAGAAATACGACGCCGGGATTTGGATGTAATGAAACTCTCTCCATTCTTCACGTTATTTTGCTGGGATTTGGGCGTGGCGTCTCGTGTACAATTGATTCATACAGCTATGAAAGATATGCGAGGCGTGGATACAGTCACATCACAATCGGATCGGTTCCTTCGTGATAGCAACGGAGCCCCGGTCACACATTGCACGTTTGTGATTTTCCGGTGCTGCGTTGATATTCTGCCTGGGTCATATTTGAACGACGGAATCGGTATCACAGGGCAGAAAATCTGCAAACGTACCGTTCTGGAGTGATTAATCCTTCAATGCTTGCGACATTTGGCAGTCAAGCTCACGCACCATGCAAGTTCGAACCCAAAGAAAATCCGCACCAGCACCCTTCCCCGTCCGTCCCAGCCTGCCACGGCGTCCACAACCGGATCAGTCACCCGTGTCGACCTCCAGGTCCAGCTGCACCCCGTTGCTGACCCCGTAGTCCGCGAGGCAGATGTGGTCCTTGAACGGCCTCTCCCCCTGCCTCTTGAGCAATATCTCGTGCGGCTCCCGCCCGATGCGGCCCGCCACCATCACCTTGAACTGCCCCACGAGATCGGACCCGAAGCACGGGATCGCCGCCTTGGTCCCCAGCCGGTCGTTGACATGCACGATGATCATCTCCTCGCCGCCCGCCGCCGCCACAGGGGCGGGCGCAGGCGCTTTCTCCTTCTTCTCGCGCCTCGGCGGTCGGTTGTCCCTGTCCCTGTCCCTGGGCCGATCATCCCTGTCGCGCCGTGGGGAGCGGCTGCGCCGCCGCGTGTCGCGGTCTCGGTCGCGGTTCCTGTCCCGGTCTGCGTCTCTGCTGTCGCGCGGTCGGTCGCTGTCGCGGTCTCTGGGGTCGCGGCGGTAGTCGTCGCGGTAGCTGGGCCTCGACGAGGAGCCGCGAGGGTCATCGTCGTATCTCGAGCGCCGGTTGTCGCGCCGGGAGTCGTCGGCATCGGCGGCGGCGGAGGGCTTTTGCTTCCATTTGAAGCCGCTGCTAGTTTTCTTGTTCTTGCGAGGCGGCGACCGTGATCTTGAGCGTCGGGATGGGGACAGCGTCTTAGCGTCTGTGGCGGGCGCGGGAGAGTCACGGTCTGACATGGTGTCAAGGGCTTGTGGTCGACCTGGTTGATCGAGACCAACTGTGAGGAGATCGAGTGCAACAAGGAGAGCGAGAGGAAGATGGAAGTGATTTTGGTTGGCGGCGATAAAATGACGTTAGGCAGAACAAAGCTTTATCGATAAGCATGCAGTTGGCCTGCCAAGAGGTACCACCCAAGTACCTGAGTAGGCCAGACACAGGAGCTCAGTTTTCGCCACTTCATTTAAGTTTGGGAGAGTAATAAGACAAATGCATCATACTTGGTTTTTCGTTGGCTCGCAGCAAGGGCAGTACGATAATACATCACATTTCCACCACTACTATAAAGTATTAATAATCATAATTATAAAAGGTATTATAAGTTAATTAAGTAAGGTTATAATTATATAATAATTGCTGACTAAGTATGATTTTATATGGGTGTATTCTGTGATTTAGGGGGTGCAAATCTCCATTTTCAATACTCTCATATGCAATCAAACGTTCCATTTTGGCGCTAATAACCTGCACATAATACCTTACACTAAAAATCATATATACTTATTATGCTATTAATTAATACCCTTAATATTATTAATTTATGCATTAACTAAGATTATTATTATTATTAAAAGCTTATATATAAACTGCTATATATAATAATTACCCTTAAATATAATTTCTTACCCTTTAACCCACCATTAAGATTTACAAAAGCTACCAACGCCCTGCTAAAGCTCCAAAGAGATATAATTAATGCTAAGCATTATTTATTTATATATAATTATAGCTAATAAAAGTATTTATATATTATAAGGCCCTTAAATAAGGCTATTATTATTAATACCTTAAAATTAATTTTATATAATAATTATAAGCCCTTAAACTATAATCCTTGCTATTAATTATAATCTTAACTTAAATATTATATTATTTTTAATAATAATTCCTTAAAGCTAATAAGTATAATATTTATAAAGAAAAAAAATATTGCATTTATAATATTTAGCAATCCTTTTGCAAAGAAAACTTAAATTATTATTAAGCTAAAGGCAAAGCCTTCTTTATTATTATTAGCAAAGCCTACTTAAAAGCTACTAATAAAAAAAAAGCCACCACTACTAAAAAAGATACTCTTAAAGCTATTATTATTATTACCGCCATTAAAAAGCAACCTTATTAAAAATAATAAAGAAAAGCTAAATCTTCCGCCTTATAATAATAAAAACTTTTTTGCTAACCCCTTTATTAACCCCTTTATTATTAAAAATAATAATATTTAAAAAATTATTAAAAAAGCTATTATTAATAGCTTTTTTAATAAAAATATTAAAATTAAGTTATAAATAAATATTAAAGTTACATTTTTTTTCTTTTTAATTAACTTAGTTAATTAATTTAAAGGTATTATTTTACTTATCCCCTTAATAAAATATTTAAAAAAATAATATAATAAATTTAATAATTTTTTTATTAATTAACTTAGCAAATAGCTTAAGAAATTTAAAAAATAAGTTTTTAATAACCTTAAGGATTATTAAATAAAGCATAAATTCCTTGCTATAATAATATAATTAAAAAAGGGTAATATATTAAAACTCTTATATTTTAATTAATAAATAGTAAATATAAATATTAAAATTATTTAAATATTAATATATAACCTTATAAAGTAAATTAAAAGCAAGGTAATATATATTTTAATTATTATATATTTCTTTTAAATATTTCTTACTCCTTATATTATTTTAAGGCATTAATAAGGTTTAATTATATCATTATTAATTTTTAAAAGCTTTATTAATATTTAATTTTGCAAAATTAAAAATATTATTACTATAAAAGTAAAAAAAAACAACTTATTTTAAATTAAGCAGTTTAATATTAAGATTAATAATATTTTTTAGCTAAGTAATTAATTAAGTTTCTTAGCAAGGTTTATAAAAATTAGCATTATGTAAAAAGTTATTATTATTTAAAGAAATATTAAAATTAAGCTATTTACTTAATTAAGTTAATAATTAAAGTATTATAATAAAGAACGTTATCTTAATTGCAAAAAAAAGTTAAAATTAATATTATAATGCTTTATTAAAAAGGATAAAATATATTTATTCTTTATATATAAAAACTTACTTAAATAAGTTAATTTAATTAAAAAAAAGCAAGAAAGGGCTTTTTTAAATTATATTCTTAAAAATATATATAATTAAGCGTTATTTTACTTAATTAATTAAAAGCAAGGCAATTAAGTTAAAATATTTAATATCCTTTTAACTCTTAAGCTAAATAATAATATTTTCTTAGCTATATTAAAGCGCTTAAGTAAAGCTAATATGCTTAAGCTAAGAAGAAGTAATATAAGCAATAAAAATATTATTAATGTTAATAAAGATAATAATAATAGTAATTAGCTTATATTAATACTTATAAATACTCTTAATAATCATTTAACGCCTTAGCAATTAACTTTATTATTATTAATATTATAAGCAGCTAAGCATATATATATATTATTTATAACCCCTTTTTTCATTAAAATGCTAATAATAAGGGTTACATTACCTTTACTATATTATTTATTAATATTTTTATTATCCTTAATAATACTTAATAGCTTTAAAAGTAATAAGCTGCTAAATAACTTTCTTTAATATATATGCTATTAAAGGGCGCAGCATTATTAAGAAAAGTAAAAAATAAATTACCTAGCTATAAAGCTTTAAAATATAAGCTTAAATATACTTAAAAACTTCTTAATATAGCTAAATAAGTAATTTATTAATTATTAATTTAAAAAGGATTTAAAAAGCTTTCTTTATTAATATATAAAGGACTTTATATAAAAATGCAATATATTAAAAGAGGGCATACTAAGCTTATTAGCACTCTTAAGGGTAATTAAGGGTTATGGAAATAATGCTATTGCTAAAAGTAATTAATTATAGCTTATTTATTATATATAAAAAAGTATTTTAAATATTATAATAAAAGCAAAGGTATAAAATTTAATGAATCCCCCGTGTTTAAAGCAAACATACGGGGAATCTACTAATTTATATATATATATAGTGAATTTACTATAAATTCACCGTAAATATATTGTAAATGCTAATATTTATAATAAATTTATAGTAAATTCATAGTAAAAGTACCGTAAATATTAATATTTATGGTAAATTTACTTAAAATAATTTATATTATATTAAATTCCCTTTAATTAATAATTTGCCTTTATGCATAATTTTTTAAATGCTTAAGCAATTAATATAGGTTAAGGTAATTTAAATAATATAGTAAATTTGCTAAAAAGGAGCGGTAAGTACCCTAAGTTTAATAAGGCGGTTATATATAAGCTATAAATTATTAATAATTAGCATTATAAGTTTATATTGCAATATATTTTAATTTAGCATGCCAGCAATATGCAACCCGTTTTATTATATTAAGCTAATAGCGTAGCGGATTATATTATGCAAGACCTTATAAGTAGTTAACTATAAGTTATTTCATTAATAATATATATAAAATATGCTTTAATGCAATAAATTATTAAAAGGAAAGGATAGGGATATTAGTTTAACTTTTATAATTATTAATTATTAATGAATTTATATATTGCAGTAAATTTACCATAAAGCTATTAAGTATGGTTTATAAAAGTGCTTAAATAGCATAATGGTTATAATTATATGCTTATAAAGCGGGTTAAGGTTGCATGCATGGATATTATAATTATTTATATATCTTTTCCTTACTATATTCCTTTGCATTAATATAAAATTATTAATTTATAAATTAATTAATATATTAGCCGTTAAAGGAAAATAACTTAGCTTACTTTTATTTATAATAATATTAAATAACTAAAGCAAAGCAAAATAAAATAAAATAAAATAAAATAACTTTATCCCTTTCTATTCCTCGCTATAGTAAAATATTAATGCAATTATTTAGCCGCTTATGCATTAATATATTATGCAGCTTAGTTAATATTAGCAGCATTACTATTAATGCAAGAGTTGCCCATAGCCCTTTAAATTATATTTATTGCCTTATCATTAATATTATTAGCTATTAAATTAACTTTATTATTAATTAATGCATAGCACTTTACTATATTATAAGTTTTAATATAATTAACTAAGCTAGCTATATAATAGCGCATAATATTTTAATTAATAGCGATTAAAAACTTGCCATACTTAGTCTTCTAAATATAAATAATATTAACTTAATTAATCTTATCCTTATTAATATAGCGGGTCTTAATTACGTTAAAGTTGCAATTTATATATAGCAAACTATATAAAATAAAGCTAATTAAAACGCAATTAATCTTATTATTTAAGTTAAAGGATTGCAAAATATTAATAGCTTTATATAAGCCGATAAAAAAAATGCATAAAATTAAGGTTATTATAATATACTTATTATAAATAAAGATAACGATAATGCATTATCCCTTAACATTAAGTATATTATTATATTAAGCAAAACAGCTATTAATTAAGTTAGCAATAATAAAGCAGCATAAATTAAACTTAAGGTTAGCAATCTTGCTAAACTTACTTATAAATATAGCAATATTTATATAAAAGTTCTTTATCTTTAAGAAAATAATAATAATAGCTAAGTTAGCCTTTTTAAATTAAGTAGCATTAGCTTTCTTCTTTATAAGTAAGGTAAATAGGTTATTATAATTAAACTTAAGGGCAATTAAATATATAAGCTTAATATCCTCCTTATTATTATTAAGGAGGCTAATAATTGCCTTGCGCTTATAGCTAAGGGTAATTAAGCTAAGGCTAAGGTTAAGATAATAAAGAATATTAATGGGGGATTAAGGCTCTTAAACCTTATTAAAAATTTAGCTAACCTTAGTAATTAAAATTAAAATAACAACCTTATTTATTTTAATACTTATAATCCACTTAACTAAGTATATACCCAGGTTTTTCATTATATAAGTAAGGGTAGCAGCAATAAAAATCATAGTAATGGCCTTTTTAATAGTAAC